ATCTTAGATCTAACTTCCACATATGAGAGAAACCATGTGCCTTTTGTCTCTCTGAGCTTGGCTAACCTCACTTAACATCATTTGTTCCCTGGAAATCATATAATCTTATTCTTTCTGATGGATGAGTAAAATTCCATTGTGTATATATACCACATTCTTTTGACCCACTAATTTACTGTAGGGCAACTGGACTGTTTCCATAACTTGGCTATTGTGAATAGTGCAGCCGTGAACATGGATGTGCAAGTATCTTTACCATATCCTGCTTGTGATATTCTGGGTAAATGACCAAGAGTGGTATGGCTGGGTCATAGGGAAGTTCTATGTTTAGGTTTTTGAGGAACCTCCAGACTGCTGTCAAGCGTGATTATATTCCCCAACAGTACAGTAGAGTTCCTTTTTCCCCAAATCGTGGTCAGCATTTGTTAATTCTTGATGTTGGCCAATCTAACTGGGGTAAGATGGAATCTCAAAGTTGTTTTGATTTGCATTTCCTTTATGGCCAGGGATGTTGCGCATTTCCTCATGTGTCTATTTGCCTTTCTTTCATCTTCTGAGAAGACTCTCTTTAGCTCCTTTGCCCATTCATTGATTGGTTTATTTGGGGGATGTTAATTTTTTGAGCTCCTTGTATATTTTGGATATTAGGGCTTTGTTGGATATATTGTCAATGTAGGGTTAAGTTATATTTCTTTTATTCTGAATTAGGTCATTTGTCAATTACTTTATGTGACCTCTTCAGAGTCTCTATCTTTTAAGCTATTAGATTTTTATCTTACTGATTTATGGCAGTTTTTTACTTATAGAGTAATTGTCCTTTGTCTGCATCATTTTTTAAAATAAAACATTGTAAATGCTGTGCAGTTTCTGTTTCTAAAGGAAGTCCAAAAAGTTTGAAGTAGCTTTTAGAATAAAAACCTTTTTAGCTCGTTATTGGTGGCTCACATTTGTAATACTAGCTATTCAGGAAGCTGAGCTCTGAGGATCATTGTTCAAAGCCAGCCTGGGCAGAAAAAGTCCTTAAGAAGCTCATTTCCAATAAACTACTCAGAAAAGGCCACAAGTGGCGCTGTGGCTCCAGTGGTAGAATGCTAGCCTTGAGCACAAAAAGGCACAAAGAGCACAAAGAGGTGAATCTTCATTTTGAAAAAAAAATTGTTTTACTTTTTGAGACAGTTTTTGCTATAGCCTAAACTGGCCTCAGACTTTGGATCTTCCTCCTTCCTTCAGCAGGGATTATACGCATGCAATTCCATGACTATTCTATACAATTTAGCCTCTTAATATTTTTATATCAAGACTACTAAAATGGGACACTATGTACTATAACTTGTAATACTAGTAATTGGCAGTAGAGAGAAATATAAATGTTCTTAGACTCCAGAATAACTTTTTTTAGGTTTGTTTTCTTGAAAAGATTGGGATGAGGGATTAGCATGTGGAGCCCAGCAGTGAGACAGCTTTAGATAATCTTTAACCAACTTCCTGATTTAAACAACTGAAATTAAATGACTGCTTTCTAATTATCATCATTTTAGTTTGACTGCTTTGTGGGCTCTTTGTTTTTTTTGGATTTTTTTTGTCTTTGTTTTTTTGCCAGTCCTGAGCCCCTGGACTGGGCACTGTCCATGAGCTTTTTTTTGCTCAATGCTAGCACTCTTGAGCCATAGGGCCACTTCTGGCTTTTTTCTGTTTATGTGGTACTGAGGAATCGAACCCAGGGCTTCATGCATGCTAGGCAAGCACTGTTAGATTGTTTGGACTTTGCCAGAAAACCATGCAGACAGAGAACAAAGAAAGGTTTATTGCCGGGAAAGGGAAAGGGGTCAGTAAGACCCCTTCTCCCAAGGGACAAGTGAGAAGAAGCACCAGCTATTGTCTGAGGTGACCTACATAACCTAGGAGGGTTAAGATGGACTAGAAAGGGCTAGAAGGTGGAGACCCTGGTGTGGATGTGAGGGCCAGGGGCTTCACCATGGTGGACTAGGATTTGTGGCTGCTGTCCAAATAGTAGGTAAGGGGCCCTGCAGCTGCCCAGACCTGAAGGTCACTCTAAGGGACTCTTGTTGCCTTAAATGGTGATAGCTACCCCAGAGAAGTGCTATCTCAAAGCGAAGGGGGTTGGAGGCTGATTATTTACTGCCTTTACTAAATGGGCCCAGTGTTGCCTAGGAAGGGAGCATGCCAGGCTGTGGAGAGGGGAAGGAGCGTACTAAGCTAGGGAAGGGAGCTCATTGAGCTAACAAGCACTCTACCACTAAGCCACATTCCCAGCTCTGCTTTGTGTTTTTCAGAGTGGCACAGAATTTGCTTTGTGTATCACTTGTCATGGTAGAGATCAGTTTAATTGAAAGCTATAATTAAATGTATTTAGAAGCGAGTGTGTTGGGGATGGAAGCATGCCTCAAGAAGTAGTCTTAGCCTGGCAAGTAAGAGGCTGACTGAGTTCAATCCCAAGTACATTAAAAAAAAGAAAAAAAAAAGGAGGCTGAGCTCCAGTGGCTCATATCTGTTATCCTATCTACTCAGAAGGCTAAGATCTGAAGATCACATTTCAAAGCAAGCCCAGGCAGAAAAGTTCATAATATCTTATGTGGCTTAGTGGTTAGAGTGCTTGCCTAGCATGTATGAAGCCCTGGGTTCAATTCCTCAGTACCATATAAACAGAAAGGCTGGAAGGAGCTCTGTGGCTCAAGTGGTAGAGTTCTAGCCTAGAGCAAAATAAGCTCAGGGACAGTGCCCAGTTCAAAACCTAGGACTGGCAAAAACAAAACAAAACAAAAAACCTCTTATCTAGTCTCATTAATTACCAAAAAGCCAGAAATTGAATTGTGGCTCAACTCATAGAGTGCTAGCCTTGAGCACAAAAGCTCAGGGACAGCACCCAGGTCCTGAGTTCAACCCTCAGGACCAGCACAAAAAAAAAAGAAAAAGAAAAACTGTTTGTGTTCATATGGATTCCGATTTTTATTTATACTAAATATTGAATATATTTCACCTGCAAGTGATCTCATCATGTTTCTCATAGTTTTTCAGACTTCCTTAAATTATATTCTCTGTTAGACTAAGAAATCTACCTAAGTAAACTTTCACTTAAAATTCTAAAGCCTGGGGGCTGAGAAGGTGACTTAGTGGTAGAGTGCTTGCCTTGCATGCATGAGGCCTTGGGTTCAATTCCTCGGCACTACATAAGCAGAAAAGCCGGAAGTGGTGCTGTGGCTCAAGTGGTAGAGCGCTAGCCTTGAGCTGAAGAGCTGAGAGACAGTGCCTAGGCCCAGAGTTCAGGCCCATGACCGACCCAAAAAAAAAAAAATTCCAAGGCCTGGAATAGAGTGTAGCTTAATGATGGAGTACTTGCCTAGAGTACTTACCTTTTAAAAAAATTGTATTTATTAGTTAAGGCTGTTGTCACAAAACCCCACAAATTAGGAGGCGTAGACACAAGATGCTTATCTTGTCACAGTCTTGGAAGGCACAGAGTCCAATATCAAAGTGTCAGCTAGGGCAGTTTCCTCTAGAGCATCTTCTTGTCTTGGAGATGGCCACTTGCTCTCTGCATTGTATCCTAATCTTCTCTTCCTATAAAGACACTAATTACATTAGATTAGAGCTTATAGTAATGACCTATTCTAAATTCATTACCTCATTAAATTAGTATTGGGAGATTAGGGCATCCATATATAACTTGGGGAAGGGACAGAGTTTAGCCTCTAACAATAGTCACTTAATACATATTCATTCTAGAAATTACAAATAACTATTTTAAAGAGAAAAATAATCTAATCCTTACTAACAGTATCAGAAGATACTGATAGTAAGATATCAAGAAGACATGAGCCTCCCAGAACTTTTCTGTTGATATATATATATATATATATATGAAATTGTTTGTAAAAATCATATGAGCCTCCCAGAACTTTTTCTACTGATGTATATTAAATTGTTTCTAAAAATCAGTATCAGTATATTATCAATAGCTTATATCTTAATTCATTGATCAGTCCCTAAATTTCTGGAATTTATGTTATTTATATAATGCACTTAGTATAAATAGTTTAGAGATGATTATGAAGCTTTCAAAAACATCCTAAAGAAAATATTTCTAAAATGTACTTTACAAACCATATCCAACCTCTTTTTTTCAATTGAGTATCAAAACCAGGAGTGCGTATACTGTAATTATACAGCTTTCTTCTCAGGTTAGCAGCAGGTACCTCATCCATTTGCTTATTGCCTCAGACTGCTATGCCCCTTCATTTTTATTCCTGCCTTTTATGCAGTGTATTCTATCTTTTGCTTGCAGCTGTTATTTGTGGTGATGACCCTATCTCTACTACCACATAGTCTCATTAATGTACTATATACTGAAAAAGCAGTTAATAAAAATTATACTAAGCCAGGCGTTGGTGGCTCACGCCTGTCATCCTGGCTACTAAGGAGGCTGAGATCTGAGGATATCGGTTCAAAGCCAGCCCAGGCAGGAAAGTCCATAAAACTCTTATCTCCAATAACCACCAGAAAACCGGAAGTGGCACTGTAGCTCAAGTGGTAGAGTGCTCGCCTTGAGCTGAGGAGCTGAGGGACAGCGCCAAGGCCCACGACCAAAAAAAAAAAAAATTTTACTAATCTTTCAATAAGTTCTAACAAAGTCCTTGATTCTTCCAGGGGTGGACCTGGCCCAATAATCATATGACATATTAATAATGTTGTTTGGCCTGTCATGACATTATAATGTCCAAATGGCTTGTGGCAGAGTAAAAGGTTCTTCATTCCTATAACTTAACAGTAGATTTTTTTTTTGGTCCAGGAATTGTTTCTCACTTTCATTTTTCTTTTTATTATGTATGTCCACATTCTAGATAGTGTTTAAGCTTCTAAGTGACCTTTGTATCACTGAAGTAATATTTGACAGATAATTTTATTGTACTATCCAATAAATTACTTCTGAAAATATTGTCATTTTTCCTCCATCATGACATGACCTTTTCTTCTCCAATCAGGATTGCCTGAGCTAGAATTGGAAGCAATTGATAACCAGTTTGGACAACCAGGAACAGGCGGTCAGATTCCATGGGCAAATAATGCTGTGACACCTGTAAACCAGAGTAAACCAGAAGAGTAAGTAATATACTTTATATTTTATAAAGTATCAGATACAGCTTCTAAGTCAAAAACTGCTCTTCCAACTTGGATTGCAGTCTATAGTAGTATTTTCTGAGATATAAATTGATATAGATATTTAATAAAAGAGAGGTAAAGAAAAACACTGAATCAAGCTGATTCAGTTACTACACGACCACAAGGTTGTAATCACCAAGAGATTGATATGGTATGCTTTTATGGTTTTGTATTTCATCTGTTACTTTGCCTTAGTTACCATAATGTTTCCTGAGACCTGTGGATGAGTTGGCCCCATGACTATATTATATTTCCCTTTTAGTTATGTAATTATTTTGTCTAGCATTTCTCCTTACTGGAAAGAAAATACTTTTTACATATGCTTAATGTTCTTTTCTGATTAGAATTTAATTTTTAATTCAATTGGAAGCAATATTCCCTAGCACAGAATATAACTCATACCTGGCAAGTAAAGGAAGACTGGTTTTATTGAGTATGGTTGACAGCTTTAACTAAGAACTGGGTTTCCATCTGCCCCTCCTAAAGGAACATACTTTTTAATTTGTATATTCTATATATGCTAAGTTTTATATACCAAGTAATAGCACTTGGGATGGAGCTTCATATTTTCTCCATGAATCAATGAATAAGTGTTCTGCTTAACTGCTAGCGTGTTACTTTTTCAATTTGACTTTGTATTTGACAAGCATATCATGTTAATATGATTTGGTTATCTTTGAAAGTAAAATAATATGTAGTGGTTTTTATCCAATTATCAAAATGGTACCTACATAATAAGTATAATTTATAGAATAAATATATATATATATAATTATTTTTTCTGAGTTTTCAATTTTATTTTTTACTTTTATTAAAATATTTTAAAATATGTATTTGATTAAGTTTTCAGATTCTGTTTATAACTTAACATGAAGAACATGGAAACTGAGTTTAATGACTGCTAATAGAATGAAAACAATATTAAAACTACATACTGAGTGTTCTTTTACTTCCTCTACATTAAGTGTAGAATATTTCATTATATTTTACATTGCTAAATACTTCACCAAAGACTTTCTAGAATCAGATTTGTGCATAAGTGTGTGTGTATGTTTACATTCTTAAGACAATCAATCTTTGCTATATGAGTCTGAAACATTCTTATCTTTTGGTTCTATAGCCAGTGTATTAGTTCACAGTTAGATGAGCTTCTCTGTCCACCAACAACAGTGGAAGGAAGAAATGATGAGAAGGCTCTTCTGGAACAGCTGGTATCCTTCCTCAGTGGCAAAGATGAAACTGAGCTCGCTGAACTAGACAGAGCATTGGGAATTGACAAACTTGTTCAGGTATTCCTTACACTTGCTATTATGTAAATGAAGCCACTCTGAAAACCCAGACTTTCAAGGAAGATTTTTTTTGTATATATTTTTTATTGTAAAAATACTGTATAGAGGTGTTATACAAGGAAGCTTTTTCTGTATTATTTCTACTGTGATTTAGCTGTTTTACACTTTATGGAAGATATCAAAATATATAATAAATAATGGTCTTTAAAATAATAATATCAAGATAATTAGAGTTAGAAACAGTTAAAATTAGAGGAGACTCAGCTTTTCAGGAGCAGAATCTTACCTGTCTGGTTAGAATAGAATCCAGATTTGTACCATCACTAATTATTTTAGGACTTAATTTATTCTTCACTCATACTTGTCTTTTATCTATATTTCATGGTATTCCAACTTCCTGGTTAGCATTTTTCCAGACTGTGAGGTATTAAAATTACTTTCATACATCATTACCACCATTTTTTAAATGGAGAAGAGTGTAGAATACAAAGCATCTGGGTAAATAATGCTACAGAAAAACAATGAGTGTCTTCCTTTGTTTGAACTCTATTTCTTGTTGTTATAATAATCTATTAAAGTTTATTGGTTCTAATAGTAAAAATACCCTACTAGTCCCGTTGCTTGAACTCAAGGCCTGGCCACTGTCTCCCCTCAAGTCCAGCACTCTGCCAGTTGAGTCACAGCTCCACTTCCTGCTTTTTGATAGTTAATTGGAGATAAGAATCTCATGGACTTTCTTAGCTGGCAAACCATGATCCTCAAATCTCAGCCTCCTTAGTAGTTAGGCTTATAGGTATGAACCACTGGTGCCCAGCTTTGTAGTGAAATTCTTTTCAAACTTGTAGCTTCATTTAATTGACTTCAGACCTTTATTTTAATACATTTTTGTCTCTATTGGCAGTTAAGCATTGCAGTTAACTTGTTACTTTTTATCTTTTTAAGTAGTTGTACAAAGGAGTTTCAATTCACCATGTAATTTAGGAATATAAAAGATTCTGATTAAAGTACTGTTACATTTTATTTCATTTTCTGAACTTCAAAAGATTCTCAATGGGGTCACAATTTAACATGTCCATCTAAATATCCAGTGCCTGTGATCAGGCTCACCCCTTCCATCATTCTACTCCATTCCATCTGCATTCAATTAAATTTAAAAGCAACTTTCATAAATGATTCCTGAGTAAGCTTTAGAAGCGTGAGCTGAGAATGATAACGTTATGGTGACACTGTCTATTGATCACCTGCACTCAGATCCAGAGCTATAGAGGGACACATAACATTTATTGGCAGAAATTTATTTATAAAATATTCTGTCTTTTCTTAACAGGGGGGTGGATTAGATGTATTATCAGAGAGATTTCCACCCCAACAAGCAACACCACCTTTGATGATGGAAGAAAGACCCAACCTCTATTCCCAGCCTTACTCATCTCCTTCTCCTACTGCCAGTCTCCCTAGCCCTTTCCAAGGCATGGTCAGGCAGAAGCCCTCACTGGGGACTATGCCTGTTCAAGTAACACCTCCCCGAGGAGCTTTTTCACCCAGCATGGGCATGCAGCCCAGGCAAACTCTAAACAGACCTCCAGCTGCACCTAACCAACTTCGACTTCAGCTACAACAGCGGTTACAAGGACAACAGCAGGTGAGTGCCCTTCTTTTGCAGTGAGGACTTTTCTAAGATTTGTGCCAAAGCTCAGAAATAAGATAACTCAATTACTGTAATAAAGATGTCAGTCCTTTCCCGTAACCTTCATGGAAGGTTCAAAGAACCATCCATGGTCTTCTGTGGTAGGTATTAGTCTTCACTTACAGACTGCTGGTTCATAAAAGGTTCAAGACCTACAGGGTTTACAAAGTAGAGTAACAAGAGATATTGTCTGATTGTTGGAACAAAATAAAATTTATTTGTATTGTTTGAAATTGGTCGGATAGATGTCTAGTGATATTACTAGGAGAAGGACAAGAGTGCCTGGAAGTGGTAACTTAAATGTCTTATGACAAGAATGAGTAGATAGGACTGGGAATGTGGCTTAATGGTAGAGTGCTTGCCTAGCATGCATAAAGCCCTGGGTTCGATTCCTCAGTACCACATAAACAGAAAAAGCCAGAAGTAGTGCTGTGGCTCAAGTGGTAAAGCTTTAGCCTTGAGCATAGAGAGGCTTAGAGACAGAGCCCAGGCCCTGAGTTCAAGGCCCAGAACTGCCCCCACCCCCCAAAAAAGGATGAGTAGATATAGTGGTATTAATTATTTAAGATTGCATTAGCAGCAGATACAGAATCATCAAGGACCACAAAAGCAAATGATTTAATATGTCATCTCTCAGAGAATTACTGGGGCTGCAAATGCTGCTTCTTATTTTTGTAGCCATACTTGAATACTGGGTTTGGATTTGCTGATCTTTTATAAGCCTCCAAACTTTATATAGTACCATTAATCTAGGGATTTTTTTCATTGTATTCAGTATGTTGTAATTTTTGTAAAATAAACTTGACTTGTTTCAACTTCCATTCTTAGTCTTTTGAGTTTAGGAAATATGTAGGTGTTAGCAATTAGATTCCCTTTAACTTTTTTGTTTGCATTTTTATTTTTGAAGTGATTGTGAATATATTATCCAGTTCCACAGAGTTGGATAGTTGTAGTTTTTATATTTACACTGCATGAACTTTCTCAAAAAGTCATTTTGTTTTCTGATCGAATAAGTATGAGAGAATAAATGAAATTAGAATTTTAAGTTGAGTTATTTGGCAATGAGACATTTAATCTATGTTAAAGCTCCATGGGTTTTTGTTTTTGTCCCAGCCTGGAGGTTAGGGGATATAGCTCAAGTGGTAGAACCCTTGGAGACCCTCAGGTCAATCCCCAGTAAAAGTAAATAAAATCCAACTTGTCCTGGAACTTGCTGTATGGTCCAGGCTGGACTCAAACTCATGATCTTCCTGCCTCAGCCTCCTGAGTGCTAGCATCTAGTTGTGTGTGCCACTATACTTGGCTAGATTCTTTTGTAAGACTTTCTACTCTATATAATAAAATACATATATATATTTATAAAATTTATAAGTTATAAGGTACTTGTAATCATAAAATAGTCCAGAGCTAGGTGCAATAGCACAAGTCTATATTCCCAGTTATGCAGAGGATCAGTTGAGGCCAGGATTTTGAGAACAGCTGGTGCAACTTAAAGAGTCCTTGATACAGTTCAGTGGTAGAGCACTTACATAGCATGTGCAAGTCCTAGATTCAATCTTCATCTTTAATAATGATAAAAGGCTGGTGGCCTGTAATTCTAGCTACTCAGGAGGCTGAGATCTGAGGATCACGATTCAAAGACAGCCCAGGCAGAAAAGTCTGTGGGACTCTTATCTCCAATAAACCACTCAGAAAACTGAAAGTGGCACTGTGGCTCAAGTGGTACAGTGCTTGCCTTGCACTCGTTCAGCTTTCTTCCTCAGCTGGCACTATGCCAATTAAACCACATCCCCAGCCCAGCTTTTTGCTAGTTATTTTGGAGATGAAGACCTTTCTGTTTGAGCTGGCCTCCAACTGAAATCCTCTGGATCTCAGCCTCCTGAATAGCTAGAATTAAAAGCATGAGTTACCAATCTTTGGCTAAGAAAAATTTTAAGCTATAGGTAGTTTACAATTAAATCTTACTAAATGTGTGCTCGCTTTGGCAGCACATATACTAAATCTTACTAAATGCTTCTATGTTACCAGATAAAATAAAGACATACCTAGGGCCAAGAGTCCTAGCCTGATTTAGACTGGACTTCCAAACCATTGTTCCACAGAAGATTCTTCTGGAAGATGTTAATATTCATGAGTCAGAAAATAAGTTTATGATAAATGAATAGCATCATATATCCTCTTCTTAGAGATGCACAATATGCTTTGGCCAATTAAAGGCTCATAAAATTACTGCAGTAAATAACTCTATTTCACCTTGTGTAACCCATCATTTCCAATACTTCATACAGCACAGCATGCTATTTTCCTGGCACATCTATTAATATCCTGCAGAACAATGTTCTTTAGAGCACCAATTTGGGAAATGCTGGTCTGAAGTAATTACTTCTTCTAGTTAAATAAATAATCCATTTTCTCAGACCATTTGTTTCTTACATAATTCGCTCAAGCTAATGATATTATGTTGGATTTTCCCCAAATACATACCCAGAATACATAGTGCCTCAAAATTAGAATACCCTGCAAGTACCCTGTCTTCCCCTTTATCTTCCAGGCCTTTGGAGCTGTACCCTTATTTTGTACTTGCTTACTTTGCTTTGCTTTGCTTTGCTTTTTTTTTTTTTTTTTTTGCCAGTCCTAGGGCCTGGGCACTGTCCCTGAGCTTCTTTTTGCTCAAGGCTAGCTAGCACTCTATCACTTTGAGCCACAGCAACATTTCTGGCTTTTTCTGTTTATGTGGTACTGAGGAATCAAACCCAGGGCCAGATGCATGCTAGGCATACACTTTTCCACTAAGTCACATTCCCAGCCCGTATACTTGCTTTCTTATTTGCAATATTTTAAGACGTAAAATTGATGTTTTTAATTCCTCCTTTACTGTGCTTATCTGAAATAACTATTAAGGTGCCTTAAAAAGAACACTAAAGTACCTGAACATATATACATGTGCATAAATGCTCTGCCATATTTAGTGATCTGAAGGCAGATAATATTAGATAAATACTGGGAAATACTAGTCTTTTGACATATAAGCATAAGGAATGTTCGTAACCATTAACGCTAAAACCGTTTTTTTTTTGTAATGGATAAAAAGTTTGTGTACCTCTATGAGGCCATGCTATTTGTGTTTGCACAGGAATCTGATCTCTTCTGTTTCCATTTTTCCTAGTTGTTACACCAGAACCGGCAAGCAATCTTGAACCAGTTTGCAGCAGCTGCTCCTGTTGGCATCAACATGAGATCTAGCATGCAGCAACAAATTACACCCCAGGTAAAGCCAGGAATCCCAGAGTTGGTAGAGCCTCTCTAGCCCGAGAGGTGCCTATTAAAATACCCACTTGAGTGTCTTTGAAATGGCTTGTGAGCTGATCTTTAATGTGTATAGGATAGTTTTCTTCTAGAATGGATTAATAAACTATTCGTAATACCTGTTACTGCTGTTTGATCTGAAGCCAAAGATTCTTTTTCGTTTCATTTTTATTGTTGCCATTGTTGATCGGGTAGGAAATTTCTTACTGTTGTACTGAATGGCACCAGTAATAGGAAGCCTCTAACATGAAGCTGAGACTGGATCTGAAACTTGGTCAAACCCAGTCATATTGCTAAGCTGTCTTAATTATCCTGTACATACTGCTCAGTCTGAACATCAATATTTTCTAGTTTAAAAATTCTGAACCATTGGAACTTTACATTTAGAAAGAACTAAATGGAACTGGGCATGGTGGTACAAGCTATAATCCCAGCTCTTGGTAGGCAGAGGCATGAAGGTTCCAGAACAAGATCCTTTCTCAAAATAGAAAAAAAAGCCAGGCACTGATGGCTCACACCTATAACCCTAGCTACTCAGGAGGCATCATAGACATAATGTTGAAGCCGACAAAGGGATAATTCTGTATAATTCTACTTCTGTAAAGTTCAAGAAGAGACAAACAGTCTTGGTATAAACCATTGTCCGGTTTAGGAAAGTAGCTGATGGGAGAGGTTGGCTACAAAGGGAGAGAGAGAGTGTTCTGCCTTATGAAAATGTTTATCTTGATTGGATCATGCTTGCTAGCATGCAAAACTCATTGATAGCTGGACATTGGTGGCTCACACCTATAAACCTAGCTACTCAAGAGGGTGAGATCTGAAGATCTTGGTTTGAAGCCCACTCAGGCAGGAAGGCCCAAGACATTTTATCTCCAATTAACTACAAAAAGCCAGAAGTGGAGCTGTGGCTCAAGTGGTAGAACACTAGCCTTGAGCACAAAAACTTAGGGATAGCACCTAGGCCTGAGTTCAAGCCCCGTGACTGGCACCAAAAAACAAAACAAGAACTGGATGGCCTGATGATGATATCTAGTACCCTCTCACTTTATATTAGTGTTTTTGCTTCAACCACTTATTTATATTTCCTTAAACCAAGTTGATGTAAAAAAAAAAACTGAGCAATGAGATTTTAGAGAAGGGTCAAACAAAACTCTTCTTCATAAAATGGACTTAGGCAAATACACACAGCCAACAAATCAAAGAGGTAATGTTGACAGAGGCCACTAGTAAGCAGCAGATATTGATGTCTTCATGAGTCCAGACTTGGGATTCTGTGTCTTACAGATTATGTATCTCAGAGCTAGATAGAGCACACTCAGTGGCAAGTAGTTTGTGAGAACAGAAGAATACACTTCTAGTGTTCACATAACCATTAACTCTATTGGAAAACCATATTTTAGTTTCTTCCAGGTTGGACAATATCCAATTGAAAGTTTAATTTTAATGGAGCTATATTCTTTAATCAGATCCTCAGTCTGAACTGACATCTTCTGAAGGCTTTTATTGACATGCCATGTTGCTTTGCATGCTAAACTGAAAGTAATTTCAACCTAATTTGACTTCTCTTTCTTCACCCATAATGTCATGGTTATTAAAGCACTTATGCTAAGTCCTGGAGTATTCTTGTGCTGCATAATAACATAAAATAGCTATCTCCGTTTACTTCTATTTACTATCTTATTTTTAGTTAATTATATTCTTTTTAAATGATAATGTGTTAGGCATTGGATTCTGGATTTCTGTTTCTTCCCTTTCTTAACTGTATTTGTAGGGCTTTCTAATTGTAAAGCTACTGTTTATTGGAGATAATTTGGAAAATATAAGAAAGTATAATGAATAAAATCAAAATTGCTTATAATCAAATTCTTATTCATTACATAAAGTAGGATAAATGATCTCAGCAAGAAAATTCTCCATAGAAGAGCCACAGTTAATTTTTTTAAAATAAGAATATCTCCTGACAGTCTGTTGGATGGAAGTCATCAAGACATTTTCTTCCACTTCCTTATGGTTTTTATGTTTCTGTTAATAGTTTTCTTGGCTTGTATTATAAAACTAATTAATATATTGTTTGGCTTTTCTCACTTCTTTGGGGTTTGGACAACATTTAAGCAGTATAATGGTCAGATATTTTCTTTGCATTTCTCATTTACTTTTAACCTATAAAATGTCCTTAATTCATTTTCTCTCCTATGATTATTACTTAAGTTTTTTTTGTTCCTTTTGTGTTTGTTTCTTTTGTACTTTGATAATTTCTATATATTTCATTGCCCCAAGCAACCAGACTTGACCTTGTGAGCTTTCCAGAATAGGTAAGGATTATAATAACTTCAGTAAGTGAAGGTTTTTCTCTCCTCCTTTGTAGCCACCCCTGAATGCTCAGATGTTGGCACAGCGTCAGCGGGAGTTGTACAGTCAGCAGCACCGACAGAGACAGCTAATACAGCAGCAAAGAGCAATGCTCATGAGGCAACAAAGCTTTGGGAACAACCTCCCTCCCTCATCTGGACTGCCAGTTCAAATGGGGAACCCCCGTCTTCCTCAGGGTGCTCCACAGCAATTCTCCTATCCCCCAAACTATGGTACAAATCCAGGAACCCCACCGGCTTCTACTAGCCCGTTTTCTCAACTGGCAGCCAATCCTGAAGCATCCTTAGCTGGCCGCAGTGGCATGGTAAACAGAGGCATGGCAGGAAACATGGGAGGACAGTTTGGCACTGGCATCAGTCCTCAGATGCAGCAGCATGTCTTCCAGTATCCAGGATCAGGTATGTGTCTATGGGATACAAGTGTATGATGAACCTGTAGATGACAATCTCACCTCAGGTGTGTTTCCATTCACTGACAACCAGTCAGTGTGCTAAAGAGGTGAGGTGAGACATCCAAAGCTCCAGGCTGAGGTCAGACCACTAAATGGTTGAATGGTTTGAAGCTTATCTCTCTGTTATAGCTGAAATGATTAAATTAAAGGATTTATAAGGACTTATCTGGCTTTAAAAAATTTAACATTTTGTGTGCAAAGTATATTCTCCTGGTTTTGTTTTGTTTTTTTCACTTTCTCTTATGGATTACTATGAGATCTAATCTAATGAGAGTTCTATTCAGGTAATGGGTTTTAGTACATTAGCACAAAATTTTCATATCTTTTTTCCTTCGGGTTATTTTGGTTTTCATAGTTGATGTAAGGATAATCAGCCTTACCCAAGTGGCTCTGCGCATCCATGGCACTGCTTGGTGTCACAGTGAACATTGTCATTTCCGAAAGTTTATTTTCTTTTTTAATCTTTTATTTGTACTGTCTGTTTTCTACTCTTTATCCTAAGTAATATCTTTTCAAATTTTATTTTCTGCCACTTTGAGATTCTAACAAGTAATAGCAGAAATATGCATTTGACTAATCTACCTTGTTTATCCAGCATCTTATGCAAAGTCAGTGGCCAGTTCCTTAAAAAAATAAATCTCGGGCTGGGAAGGTGGCTCAGTGGTAGAGTGCTTGCCTTGCAAGTGTGAGGCCCTGGGTTCAAATCCTCAGCACCACATAAGCAGAAAAAGCTGGAAGTGGCGCTGTGGCTCAAGTGGTAGAGCACTAGCCTTGAACTGAAGAGCTGAGGGACAGCGCCCAGGCCCAGAGTTCAGGCCCCACGGCCAGCCAAAAAAAAAAAAAAATCTCTTGATTCAAAAGGAATAAATTTTAATACTGCTTAAGAATGAATTCTAGTTGAGCACTGGTGGCTTATGCCTATAATCCTCACCACTCAGGAGCTGAGATCTAAGGATCAAGGTTCAAAGGTCAGCCCAGGTAGGTAAAATTAACCACCGAAAGACAGAAATGAAGCTGTGGCTCAAGTAGAGCACTAGCCTTGAGCTAAAAAGCTCCGGGACAGTGCCCAGCTTCTGAATTCAAGCCCACAGGCACAAAAAAAAAAAAAAAAAAAAATTAGTGCCTGTGATCTTCAGTTATTCAGATTTGGAGATCAGAAAGACAAACCTAGCAAAAAGTAAACAATTTGAAAAATATAACAAAAAGTAAAAAGACTTGGAAGTATAACTAAAGTGGAAGAAAACTTGCCCTAGCAACTTCAAACCAGTACTACTTATAGAAAAATTACTGTTTTATGGAAAGAATAGTAACATTAAAAGATGCAGAGTTTTTAATTTCTCCTACAACTTACTGTAAATTACAAATTTGAGCTGGACACTGGTGGCTCAAGCTGTAATCCTAGCTACTCAGGAGGCTGAGATTTGAGGATTGCTGTTTAAAGTCAGCACAGGCAAAAAAAAAAGTCTGTGAGACTCTTATCTCCAATAAACTAAAGCCAGAAGTGGCACTGTGGCTCAAGTGGTAGAGTGCTAGCCTTGAGCAAGAGAAGCAAAAGTAGGCCCAGAGTTCAAGCCTCAGGACCCCTCCCCCCTAAAAAAATCATAAATTTGTTCCAACATGACCAGTAGTCTAGAGGGCTTCAACATCAGGTTTTAAATTGTTACAGATTAGGGGCTGGGAAGGTGGCTCAGTGGTAGAGTGTTTGCCTTGCATGCATGAGACCCTGGGGTCTATTCCTCAGCACCACATAAGCAGAAAAAGCCAGAAATGGTGATGTGGCTCTCGTGGTAGAGTGCTAACCTTAAGCTGAAGAGCTGAGGGACAACACCCAGGCCCAGAGTTCAGGCCCCAAGACTGATAAAAAAAAAAAAAAATTGTTATGGATTCAAGTTCTGGCCTTTTCAAAAAACAAAGTAACTATTTTAGTTTAAGGAAGTACAGATGTAAAGATTCTGTGACTCTTGTTGCTTTTGTACTACTTTTGCCAAAATAATTGCCAGTAGAACTAAGATATGTATGTCCCAACATGTTGCTTAAATGCCATGTGAGCCTGACCCTGCCCACCCGCTTCTTTTTTAATCTTTAAGTAATTGCACAAAGGAGTTACCATTAAACAAAGCAGTTTATGAATGTAGTGCTGAGTCTTGAACTCAGACGCTGAGCGCTGGCCTTGAGCTTCTTTGGCTCAAAGCTAGCACTACATTCATGGTTGTTGTAGAAACTCCATTGTTTGTCAAGCCAAATATTTATTTTTAACCTCTGGTAGACAAACTTTTAGGCTAATCCCTTTACTAATGGATGACAATGAAACCAAACAGAGAGTATTTAAGACAGTAAAACTGCGGGTGCTGGTGGCTCACACCTGTAATCCTAGCTACTCAGGAGGCTGAGATCTGAGGATCGCGGTTCAAAGCCAGCCCCGGCAGGAAAGACTGTGAGACTCCTATCTCCAATAAACCAACCAGAAAACCAGAAGTGGCGTTGTAGCTCACATGGTAGAGTGCTCATCTTGAGCTGAAGAGCAGAGGGACAGAACCCAGGCCCAGAGTTCAAGCCCTATGACCGACAAAAAAAGAAAGAAAGAAAAAAAAAAAGACAGTAAAACTACTCTGATGATAATGGAATGGCTCATCTATAGGGTACAACGCAGGAGTCCATATAAACTATGGACTCTAGATAAAAATGATGTAACATGCTCACTATGGTGGGGGATATTGAGAATGGGGAACGCTGGGCTTGAGAAGAGGCAGAGGCAACATGAGAAATCTCTGTACTTCTAATGAATTTTGTTTTAAACTTTTTGCTTGGGCCCTGGTACTGGCTTGAACAAAACAAAACAAATCACCTGATAAAACAAGTTGTCTGACAAGGAAAAATGACCATTCACACATGGACAGTTGATGGAGGTGAAATCAGAAAGAAATATAAAAAAATATGCCCATGTATTTATGGTCTCATTATCTTTTTATCTCTGGCTCTACAGAATAATATGCTCAATGTGGTATCTTTTCTCCCCTCCCATAGTTTTTCCAGAAATTATTTTATCACACAGTTAAAAATTTTACAAATAAATACTTTGAAGGACTACACCCTAAAATAAAATTTTACAAAGGCATACAGACATAGAAACTTGCTAGTAATAACAAGAGAAAGAAGCAGGTTAAAATAATTACAATTTTTTAAGGAAGATTTGAAAGAATTATACCAAATTATTGCAATCAAATGATGGTATTCTTTCTTCCGTGCCTTTATAACTTAAATGCCTTAAAAACATTTCAGTGTAAGATATATTTTCTTGGAGGAAAAAGGAATACAGGATGTTACAGCATAACAAAAATATAAAAGGGGACCTTTTTTTTATTTTTAGTTTTTGTCAGTCCTGGGGCTTGAACTCAGGGCCTGGGCACTGCCCCTGAGCTTCTTTTGCTCAAGACTAGCTCTCTACCACTTGAGCCACAGTGTTACTTCCAGCTTTTTCTGTTTATGTGGTGCTGAGGAATCAAACCCAAGGCTTCATGTACATTCCCAGCCCAGGGGACCCATTTTTTTTAAAGACTTCTTTTGGCTATGACAGTTGAAACACAATATCAAAGTACCTTAAACAATAATTCTGGAGATTGGCCAGATTCTGCTGCAGGAAGAGAGACTGAAACAGGAGTCAAACCATTTCTGTGGGTTGAGGCAGTGAAGCTGGGAAGTCAGGAAAGTCATGGCAAAGGGTGGTCACAAGGTCAATTATCAGAGAGAACAGAACTAGAGAAACAACTAGGAGATATGCAGAGGGCCCCACTCCAGCCTTTAGCACGTGTACATACATGTGTGTGAATACAAAGCAAGGCCAGGAAAAACTTGCTGAAGATTAGCAGAAATAGCTAGAGTTATGCCCATTAGCACCCTCATAATTCATGAGGTATCAAGTAGAACACTTTTTTTTGCCTCAGTAAGAAGCAAAGTAAATCCTAACCTAGACCTTGTTCTTACCTTACTAGGTACAGACCTTAAAGAGTTAAGCTATTTTGTGTAACCTCATCATAGCCCAGACAAAGGCCAAAATATTTAAAAGAGAATTCAAAAACAAACCAAGCTCCTAACAAAGTAAAATTCACAGTCAGATATCTGTGTTTAAAAATTATACAGACATATAAAAAACAAGAAAGTACAATCTAGAATGAGGAAAAAAATTAATTACCCAGAAATAACACAGATAATAGAATTAGTACACAGGAATTTTAAGGCAATTAAAAACAATAAATTTATTCTTTATGTTCAAGAAGTTAAAGATTGAATATTACTTACTAGAGGTATGCATGAACATAAAAATATATGATAATAAAAACTTATAGAAAATGAAATCAGAGAGGAAAAACAAAAGACTCAAAAGCTGATTTACTCCAAACTGATCAGCATGCTAGTCAGAGAAATCGACAGTTTTATTCTGAAATGTATGTGGAAATGCAAAGGACTAAAGAGTAACCAAAACAGTTTTGCAAAGAAAGGACAAATTTGGATAACTACCTAATTTCAAAAATTACCCTATAGTTGCAATAATTCCTAAACATGGTATTGGTACAAATATGGACATGTAGATCACTGAAACTGAGTAAGAGGTCCATAAATAAGCTCTTACTTTTTTATATTGATTTTAAATGTATTTATGTTGATCATTATTCATAAGTGCTTTTCTGTATAAAATGAATAAACTCATGATAAAGGCTACAAAATGATTAAAACTCCAAAAATATTATGCCAACTAAAATAAGATAGACACAAAAGATCACATATGGTGATATCAATATGTAGTTCCAACAGACAAATCTGTAGATATAGAAAGCAGATCAGCAGTTGTGTGGGACTAAAGAAGGAATTGCCTACCAACAACCCCAAGGCGAGGGAATTTGAAGTATATAACAGGAGCATCTAAACTGGACTCTTGTTACATTGGGTTGTTACATTATAGTGTATTCACAGAAAATAATTTTTGTCAACCTTCAGGAATGGTTCCCCAAGGCGAGACCAACTTTGCCCCATCTCTCAGCCCTGGGAGCTCCATGGTGCCGATGCCGATTCCTCCTCCTCAGAGCTCTCTGCTCCAGCAAGCACCACCCTCTGCTGGGTACCAGTCACCAGACATGAAGGCCTGGCAGCAAGGAGCAATAGGAAACAACAAGTAAGGGGGCAGTTTCTATGTACGGGCATCCCTGATACTTTGCAGTAAAGTAAGAGTAGCCATGTTCCCATATGCCAAGTCAAAGATGGCTGTCTTACATGAGAGAAAGAACTGAATTTTATGTTATCAGCAAAAAAAAAAAGGTGGTTCAATGTTTGAAGTATGGCGTCATTGTTAAGGCACACTTGTGTGTTTACTGAACAGAAAAGTGGTCTAGAAGCCTTCACCCTTTTTATCCTCCTTTCAGTACAGCTGAAGAAGCTGATCAGTCCCCATCAGATACAGCTTCCCTGGAAAAATGGAGCAGTTTTTTAATAAGAACATTTTAAAATCTTAGAAATGTAAAGACTTTTAAAATTAGAATTTAATAGAACACACAGGTTCAGTGTGTATGAAAGATTTCATAACCACTGAAGGTCTTTCTTATTAGTATTTTGGAGTTTTTATTGGCATATATTAATTGTACTGAGGAGTTTCATTATACTGTTCTCAGATATGTATATAATGTACTCCTATCCAATTCTTTTTTAATTGTATTTATTATTATAAAGGTGATGTACAGAGGGGTGCAGTGCCTTCGTGGGGTAAAGAGTCCATTTCTTTTAGGAAAATGTCACTCTTCCCGCGCATCCTCCCTATTCCTCTTTTTTTAATCCCTGCTTTTATGAACAGTTTTGAATAGATTTCATTATTCTACTTGAAAATATGAAAATACTTTGATCATATTTATTCCCTTTCACCATCCGCTTTTATCCTCCCCTCCCCCTGCTGGCTCTCTCCCACCTCTTTCCTACCCACCTACACCTCACCACCACCCTGCTACCTCCCCTTCCCCATTGGAGTCTTCTTGTTAAGTCTAGATTCTCAACAAAAGATCTTAAGGCTTCCTGGGTCATTCTACTTCATTCCTTGTAGACATCTGAATTATCAGTGGCCTCATTTTACCCATTTCGCTAATAATTATCTCACTAAAGTCTTTTTTTCCCCCAAATTCTGTCTGCTGAACTTTTCACACATCACTCAAGTTTTATAAGGATTTTAATTTGGTTGTGTCTTGGTTCTGCTGACAGGGAAGCCATTTAATCTGACAACATAATAAGTAAGGCAGGTAGTTAAAAACATAAGACTATATTCTCTTAAAGTTCATTGAAAGGTGAGAGAGGAAATCTTCTTGTTAGAGAACTGTTTAGCTTTCAGTGAGGACTGTATAAATTAGGCAGGAATGGAACCATTTTGGTGGCATACAAGAGGAATGTAGTCTCCTAATGCAGTCTAAACCCAACTTGCTAAACTTTTCATCTAACTACTCCCTCACAAGCCCCTTTGCCTCTCTTGACCAGCATTCTCCCTCTCTCCCCTTCTCCCCTTCTCCCCTTTAAACCCTCACTTATACGCAGCAGCAACTCTCTCTAAGGAATCAAACCAATCCCCTGACTTCAGAACTCCAGCTAAGCATTTAAATATGGCCTGAAGGAATAGGGGTATAGCTCAGTGGTAGAGCAGTTGCCTAGTACAAGGCCCCGAGTTTGATTCTCCAGCACCGCAAAAGAGGAAAAGACTTCTGCTGACAGTGACAGGTCTCACTAATCTATATCTTTGCTCCCCATTACATTTAAGTTCCTTGGAATAATATCCTCTGTCTGCCTCCTCTGCTCCACACCGTGTTGAACCAGTCAAGATTCCACCCATCCTGTTGTACCAAAAGTATTCTTGACAAGGTGGTTAATACCTTCTACACTGCCAGACACCATGTTTGTCAGTAGAATTGGATATATTTGACATTTATGATTTCTTCATTTGGTTTATCTCCAGCCCAGACAATGCCCCTGAACACTAAAGTATATACCCAATTATCTAAAGACACCTCCCCTTAGAAATCTCAAGACAGGGCTGGGAAGTTGGCTTAGTGGTAGAGCACTTGCCTTGCATGCATGAGGCCCTGGGTTCGATTCCTCAGCACCACATAAGCAGAAAAAAAAAGCTGGAAGTGGCACTGTGGCTCAAGTGGTAGAGTGCTAGCCTTGAGCTGAAGAGCTGAGGGACAGCGCCCAGGCCTAGAGTTCAGGCCCCATGACCAGACCAAAAAAAAAAAAAAGAAGAAGAAATCTCAAGACAACTCAAACCTGACATAACAAAACCAAGGTGAGATTCTCCCAGAAGCCCATCCCTCTCCTGCTCTCCCCCAGTAAATGACAAAATGCCATTCTAATTAATTGTTAAGAAGAAAAACCTGGGGCTGGGAAGTTGGCTCAGTGGTAGAGTGCTTGCCTTGCATGCCTGAGGCCCTGGGTTCGAGTCCTCAGCACCACATAAGCAAAAAGCCAGAAGTGGCGCTGTGGCTCAAGTGGTAGAGCGCTAGCCTTGAGCTGAAGAGCTGAGGGACAGCGCCCAGGCCCAGAGTTCAGGCCCCACGACCGGTCCCCAAAAAAAAAGAAGAAAAACCTTTTCTCTTTCATACAACACAAAACCCATCAGGAGATCATGCCAACTGTGTGTGTGTGTGTGTGTGTGTGTGTGTGTGTAAAACCTTTTCTCTTTCATACAACACAAAACCTGTGTGTGTGTGTGTGTGTGTGTGTGTGTGTGTGTGTGTGTGTGTGTGTCAGTGCCAGGAACAAGGCTTGAACTTAAGGCCTCATGCTTTCACTCAGCTTTAAAACATAAAAAAAAAAAAAGAAAAACCTTTTCTCTTTCTCTTTCATACAACACAAAACCCATCATGCCAACTGTGTGTGTGTGTGTGTGTGTGTGTGTATTTCAGTGTCAGGAACAAGGCTTGAACTTAAGACCTCGTGCTTTCACTCAGCTTTTTCACACATGGCTGGTTATTTACCATTAAAGCATCACCTTCCAGTCTGGCATTGTGCTAGTTAATTTGAGATAGAATCTCTTGGATTTTCTTTCTTTTTATTTTCTTTTTTCCTGGCCTGGGGCTTCAACTCAGGGCCTAGACAGCACTGACTCTGAGCTTTTTAGCTCAAGGCTAGGATTCTGATCTGTTGAACCACAGCCCCACTTCCTGCTTTTGTGAGTAGTTAATTGAAGATAAGAGTCTCATGGACTTTACAGCATGGGCTGGCTTCCAACCATGATCCTCAGATCTCAGCCTACAGAGTAGCTAGGATTGCAATCATGAGTCATAGCACCAGCTGATAAATTTTCTTGTCCGGCTGGCTTCCAATCTTGCTCTTCAGACCTCAGCTTCCTGAGGAGCAAGAATTACAGGTATGAGCCTATAATTCTTCATGCCAACTTAACTACTGTCCTTTTTTACCTCTCTGACTTAGCATGTCATGACAGCTACCTTCACCTTTCTCCTGGATGACTACAGTAGCCTCCCTGCCTCCACCTTAGTTTTAGCATAGCTTAATCTTTGCATAGTATTCAGGGTGATGTTTTTAAACCATGAGGCATTAAGTATGTCAGCCTTTTACTCAACTCTCCAATAGCCCTCCAGCCCTTACTTAAAACGAGGCCCCTGTATCACCTTGCTCCTGGATACCTCTCTGACCTCATCTACTCTTCTCATTTGCTCAGCCACCTTGGTTTCCATTTATTCTTCTTTGCTTGTATTCATCAAATCGACTTCAAATTCATTTAATCCCTTTGGTAGAATATTCTTCCCTTAGTGGCTACATGATTTGCTGACTCACTTCAAATCTCTTCTTAAACATCACCTTAGTAGACATAGACATTAACTGTTGCCTTAGTCAACATAGGCAGTATATATTATTAGCATGCATAGTAGCATTTTCTCTACCACATGGTGTAAGATACCACAGAGCACATGAAAAGCTGCTCCTAGCAGGTGATGGTGGCTCATGTCTGTAATCCTAGCTACACAGGAGGTTGAGATCGAGGATTACGATTCGGAGTCAGACTGGGCAGGAAATTTGGTGAGACTCATCTCAAGTTAAGCACCAGAAAACTGGAAGTAGCTCTGTGACTTAAAATGGTAGAGTACTAGGCTTGAGCAATAGAGCTCAGGAACAGCATGCAGGCCCCAAGTTCAAGCCCCATGACTGGTTTAAAAAAAAAACAACCCAGCTCCTGCTGCCAAATAACCTACTTGGTACTAGGCAGATCAGTCATTAAAACAAGCAATCACAGAATCATTGAATAATTGATACCATGCTTAAAGAGAGTATAATTGATTCTTTCCTATTATTTGTCTGGTAAGAGAAAGGGTTAAAGCAAACATGTGTATCCCAAAATTGAGCTGTTTCTGTGTAACAGTCATATGAAGGGAGATGCTTACAAAGACCAAGTCCTGTTGGTTAACTTTTTGTTTGATTTCTTTGACCAGGGGCTCCTCTGTGCGTGTTAAATAACCTGTAATGTCTATGGAACACCATCAGGACATGTTTAGGAGCTGCCAAATACCTTGTATTACCTTGACAAAATAGTGATTACTTCCATAAGCAGACATGAGTGCTGAGTGGGGAAGAGGTCCCATAAGCCTTGGACTAGGGTGCCAGTGAGCCCAACTGCCCTTTCTAGGACCAGAACAGTAGTTCTGGCTGAAGGAGGGCTTGGTCTTCTTTCCTTGGACTAGGGTGCTAGTGAGCCCAACTGCCCTTTCTAGCCAGAACAGTCGTTCTGGCTGAAGGAGGGCTTGGTCTTCTTTCCTTAATGGAAGAAACTAAATTGGCAGGAACAGTTTGAAAGAACTTAAGCTAATATATAGTCCCATATATAAATTTGAAAGAAAGTTAAGACCTAAACTTTTTGCCTGTAAGTATGACATCATTGCAGTTCTTGAAACTTCCCCATGCATTAACTTACACAGCCTTGCTCTTTCTCTTTCATGGTGATGACTTATATATCAGTTGACAAATGAGCATTGTGTAAGACAAAAATGTTCTCATTAGGAGATGAGCATAGATTCATAGGTTTCTTTCTTGCCTTCAATTATGAGAATATAAGCATACATACTGTGCATACATGAAAGGTCCACAGGTGCTATTTCCTAGGCATATAATTTTCTGTGTACATTTATGTTTTATCATTAACTTAAGAGAATTTGACACTCTTCTTCAAACATGATGAATACATTGTTTCTTTGTCTATTAATTTTACTATGATTACCTTAATGTCTTGGAAGCTATAAATGCCATTACATCCTGCATACCACTTGAGAGCTAGCAAGGAATAAAAAGCAGTGAAGAGGGAAATCATTTTTAGAATCAAATTCTCCAGAATCAACCATTGATTTATAGTTATAAAATACTTTGGAGTTTTGTAAATCTTATGAAAGACACAATTCATAGCATTTTCCTTTAGATGCGTGTATTTGTATCATTAGGAATTTTTAAAGTTTGAATATAAATTTTCAAATTGAATTTAGTTGTTTATTTCATTCTAACTACTAACAAACTGATTTCACATTTGAGATCTTTAGTAAAACAACAATCTAGAACTTGGCCATGAAGAAGGAAGTTGATAAAATAAGCCCTCTGAAAAACATAATTACCCTTCTATTTTGCTTTCTAGAGAAGACATAGAGTTATATATATTCAAGCCTCTGGAGATACTTTTAACATGAGCTCTTTTCACTTATTAAATCCATTGAGCATAATTCCAAATATTTCTGAATTATATTCAGTCTTGATAAATTTTAGATACAGACTTATGTGCAACTTAATGAATGTAAAATATTTAATTTGGAAGCCTGTCTAATGATATTTAAGTATAATCTAATCAAATTATCTACACGTTCATGATCAGTGGATGTAATCTGGATTGTTTTTGAGTTAACAGTGTGTTCAGTCAAGCTGTCCAGAGCCAGCCCACACCTGCACAGCCAGGAGTGTACAACAATATGAGCATCACCGTGTCCATGGCAGGTGGAAACACAAATGTGCAAAACATGAACCCAATGATGGGCCAGATGCAGATGAGCTCCTTGCAGATGCCAGGAATGAATACTGTGTGCCCTGAGCAGGTGAGTGACACAGCTTTCATACCTCTCTCTCACACATACACACCCCACCATCACACCATGCCATGACTCACACAGTTCACTATCCCAAAGAAAATCATGTAAGTTGACAACCAGAATCTTAGCACTGGTGGCTCATACCTGTAATCCTAGTTACTCAGGAGGCTGAGATCTGAGAATTACGATTCAAAGCCAGACCAGGTAAGAAAGTCTGTGAGACTCTTATCATCAATTAAACACCAGAAAACTGGAAGTGGAGCAGTGGCTCAAAGTAATAGAGCACTAGCTTTGAGTAAAAAGGCTCAGGGACAGTGCTTAGGCCCTGAGTTCAAGCCCCATGACTGACCTTCCCTTCTCCCCCCCCCCCATCCTCCCAAAAAAAGAATTCAATCAAATTTTAGCAGAGTTCAAATAAGATTTTAGTCTCAAGAAATTTAGTATAGAACAAGAACAGATACACAACTTGAATGATGCATCAGTTGAATAATAGTACAGAACAGTTGTGTTAAGAGGTGAGCACAGGGGCTGGGAAGGTTGCTCAGTGGTAGAGTGCTTACCTTGCAAGCATGAGGCCCTGGGTTCAATTCCTCAGCACCACATAAGCAGAAAAGGCCAGACGTGGTTCTGTGGCTCAAGTGGTAGAGCACTAGACTTGAGCTGAAGAGCTGAGGGACAGTGCCTGGACCCAGAGTTCAGGCCCCACAACGGACAAAAAAAAAAAAAGAGGTGAGCACATAAGACCATATATATTTATATCAAATAAAAGAGATATGTATAATGTATTTAAAAGAGAAAAGAGCTGGATGCTGGTGGCTTATGCCTGTAATCCTAGCTACTCAGCAAGCTGAGATCTGAGGATCAAAGTTTGAAGCCAAGCAGGAAAAGTCCAAGAGACTTTAAAAACTGGAAGTGGAACTGTGGCTCAAGTTGTAGAATGCCAGCTTTGAGTGAAAAAAAAAGCAAGAGCATAAGGCTTAGGATTCAAGCCCAAGTACGAGCACCAAAATGAGAAGGAGAGGGAAAGGGAAAGGAAGAAAGGAAAGGTTGGAGGAGGAAGGATGAGGAGGAGAGAGGGAGGGAGAGAAGGATTCGGGGAGAGAAGAGGGAGAAAGAGAACTGTTTTATCTAGTTGTTTTCAGTTATTAGAATTACTATCTGCATTAAATTAAAACAAAAATGTAATGATTGGGTAAAAATACTTAAAGTGGACTTCTTACATAGTTATATCTTACTTTGTATTAGGCTTATTAATACAAGCTTGGTTGGTCCATGATCATTTAATGTATTGTTGCTGTGGTTGGATTTAAATATCTTCTCTTTTTGCTTTATTCTTAGTCCTAACTTTTGCCTTTTTTGTGTGCATAATGAATATTTTTGTTTTGCCTTTTTTGTGTGCATAATGAATATTTTTGTTCATCTCTTTTGTTGACTTAACTGCTCTGTTATTTTAGTAAGTGCATTAGTGTATTATGTCTTTCTCCATCATCTTGTCTTCCAATGATATTAAGTCATCTCATACATAGTATGAGAACTCACAGCAGGATATTTTCAGTCTTCCCTCCTGTGCTGTTGTCATCCCTATTCTATCTGTATATACTGATAGCCTATAATAAATTATTACTTTTTTTTTGCTGGTCCTAGAGCTTGAACTCAAGGCCTGGGCACTGTCCTTGAGCCTTTCTGTGCTCAAGGCTAGCGCTCTACCACTTGAACCATAGTACCACTTCCAGCCTTTTCTGTTTATGTGGTACTAAGGAATTGAACCCAGGGCTTCATGCATGCTAGGCAAGTGCTCTACCACCAAGCCATATTCCCAGCCCAAAATTGTTACTATTTTTAAAAGAATTTTTCAAATTTAAATTTTCTGCATTTACACTTATACTCACCACTTCTTCGTTCCTTTGTGTAATGTCAGATTTTCATAAGGTATATTTTTCTTCTGTCTGAAGGTCTTCTTTTAGTGCTTTGTATAGTGTATGTCTTTTGTCTTTTGTATGTCTGCAAAAGTCTGTTTCACCTATCTTTGGAGGTTCTTTCCCTGCATTCTGGGTTGGCAGTTTCAGCTGTCAGTACTTTAAAGATGTCACTATTCTGTCAGCATTCTGATGAGACACTTGCTGTCATTTTCATCTTTGTTCCTCTGTGTATGACTGACTTTTCTCTCTGCCTGACTTTTAAATCTTTCTTTTTATAACTTGTTAAGCAATTTGATGATGATACACTTGGGTGTGATTTTCATTGTTTATTGTTCATGTGATTCGTTGAGTTTCTTAATTCATAGGTGTATAATTTTACAGAAATTTGGCAACATCTTAGTTTCCACTGCTTCCAACCGTTTTTTGGGTTGTTTGTTTTGAGGAGGTTGGCAGTACTGGAGTTTGCATCAGGCAGGCTACCACGTGAGCTGCTCTGCCAGTCCCTTTTTGCATTGGTTATTTTCAAGATAAGGTCTCACTTGGATGCTGCACCCAGTTACTGTGTTTCCCCCATGCTTTGAGATGACAGGCATACATCTCTGCACCCAGTCATTGATTGAGATGGAGTTTGGTGACCTTTTATGATTCCCCAAGCTCTACCTCCCAAGTAGCGAGGCTTGAGCCATGCATCCAGCTTCAAAGATTGTTTTATATCATCCCTCTTCTTCTGCAACTGTAATTTCACAAGTTGTAAACCATTTGAAGGTATCCCATAGAGTTCATTGATTCTCTGCAGTTGGGGGAGGATTTATTGTTGGGATGAGATTGATTCTTTTAATTTTTTTTTCCAACTTTGAACTGGAGACCTTGAGTTTCTTGATTGGCATCAACTTATTCTCACAGGTAGCTCTGCCACTTGAGCCACCCCTCTAGTTCCTGCATGTTTCATTTTAGATATTATCTATTGCCATAGTTTCAGATTCCCTATTTTTTGTAATGCCTAATCTGTTTATTTTGTCCAATGTATTTCTCATACCAGACATTGAAAGTTTATATCTAAAAGTTACGTTGGGGGCTGGGAAGGTGGCTCAGTGGTAGAGCGCTTGCCTTGCATGCCTGAGGCCCTGAGTTCGATTCCTCAGCACCACATAAGCAAAAAGAAAAAAGCCGGAAGTGGCGCTGTGGCTCGAGTGGTAGAGCGCTAGCCTTGAGCTGAAGAGCTGAGGGACAGCGCCCAGGCCCAGAGTTCGGGCCCCACGACCGGACCCAAAAAATAAATAAAGTTACGTTGGGATCTTTTTGGGGGGTGGGGGAAGGGAGATGGTCTTGGGGCTTGAACTCAAGGTGTAGGCGCTGTCCCTGAGACTTTTCTACTTAAGGCTAATGCTCTACCACTGAGTCACAGCTCCATTTCTGATATTCTAATGGTTAATTGTAGGTAAGAGTCTCATGGACTTTTCTGTCCAGGCTGGCTTCAAATTGTGACCCTCAGATCTCAGCCTCCTGAGTAGCTAGGCTTACAAGTCTAAGACACCAATGCCTGCCATATTGGGATCATTTTTGTATCTTCTTTATCTCTAAAATATCTTTTGTAACTGCTCAGTATTTCCTCTTGCTACTTGAACATAATTTTTATGACTGTCATGATAACCTCCCTTATCTGTCATCTGAACTGTTTTAGGGTTGATTTCAAGTGATTAGATTCTTTTTCATTATGAGTCATGATTTTCTGTTACTTTATATGCCTGTTAATTTTTTATTGGCCGTCAAACCTGAGTTTCACTTGTGTATATTCCTATCAATATTCTTGAACCTTGTTGTCAGAAATAGCTAAGTTTTTGGACATAGTTTGATGTCTTCATGGTTTGCTTTTTTTTTTGCTTGGTGAGACAAAATCAGTGTGTTCTGGGGCAAGTTTTGCTTTACTTTTGAAACAAGTTCATTATACTATGCTACCTGTTACAGCATGAATTATGTGTTCCATAATTGCTGTTGGGATCAAGATCTAGTCCCAACCCTATGTGGTTGCTGGGAATGAGTCCATGTCATCTATTCAGGTGACTCTTCCCCTGCAGTATGACTTGATCAGGGCTCAGCTCCAGACTTGAGAGTATATGCACATCTCCAGAGCTTCCTCTTTGGCCTTTTCCCCTCTGACATTCTGCCCTCTGGATTCCAGCTACTTCTCCTTATCTCATAGAGCCTGCCAGTGATCACTGCAGTAGAAATTCCTCAGCTGTTTTCCTATTCTTACTCAGGGATTACTGTCCTTCACTGCCTTTTGTTTGTTTGTTTTTATATCTTGAGAACCTTTGTTTCCTATGTTTTGCCCATTTTTTGAGTGGATTCTGTGAGTAGGATAAATACTATCTCTGCTACTTAACCTTGACTAAAGCAGAAATCTGTTAATAATTTAAGAGGAAGGCATATGTATGTGTGCATCACAGAAACTTTTTATTGAAGTATTATATATAATTCTATACAGAAAAGTATACAAAGTGCACACACTTAAACTAACAGAATGTCACTAGCATCCTAGAAGTTCCCCTTGTGTTCCCTTACATATTCTCCACCCCCACATTGACATGGTAAATTGTTTTCTGTCAGTTTTCCACTAAAGAATTTGGTCTTCACTTAAATAACTAGCTTGTAATTTGGTCTTGTATTTATCTTTAATAGATGAACGATCCAGCAGTAAGACACACAGGCCTCTACTGCAACCAGCTTTCATCCACTGACCTTCTTAAAACAGAAGCAGATGGAACACAGGTCAGTAAGAAAATTCTATGCCCAGAGCTGCCAAATGTACTCTAGACACATGGAGGATGTTTCATAGTATGGTAATTACGAGACTGACCTTGGTATGAATGAGTCCTGGCTCTGCTCTTTCTAGCTGCATCCCCGTGGGCATGTGCAGAACTTTCCTGAGTAGCTCTTTGACCACAGAGCTAGCAAGTACCTGCTGACAGGATTGTTCAGAGGGTTAAATGAGATAAGCTTTCTGGAAGATTTAATTCAGTTCTTTTGGGGACAAATAAAAACCCAAAGATGACCACTAAATGCTAAGAAACACACTGTTAAAACTAATCTATAATCAAAACACTTCAAAAGATCTCCCTAAGTTGAGACAAACAGTGCATGCCATATACTCTGAACTCTGCCTCCAAACATCAAGATGACCAATTTCCTCTGCTAACCTAAGTGTGAATTGCGGGGGGGGGGCGGGATTAGTTTACTCTGGTGCCTGGTTTAGTCCTTCGTCTCTTAATATTTTTAACATAAGCATTATGCTACATATGGAGAAAGAAATATACATATCTTCCTTGCCCTTTAAATAAATTGTGGGGAGAAGAGAAGAAAGGAAGTTTGATTGTAAAATCTCTGACTTGCCAGGCACTGTGCTTGGCACTGTGTGCTTTATCTCATTTAAGCCTCACCATAACTCTGTAAAGGAGGTTGTATTTCTCTTCTTCACAGATAAAGAAACTGAACCTGGGGAAGGTAACTACATGTAACATTCACACAGCTAGGAAGAGGAGGAGTGAGCTTCACACTCAGATACTTCTAATACAGATACATACACATAAATTGTCACGTACTTCAGAAGGCAAACTATCAAATTTATGTTACAAGTAACAAGAGTCATGGCATTCAAAGAAAGGAGAAATAGGGATCGGGCATAGTTTAGTGGTAGAGTGCTTGCCTAGCATGCTCAAGGCTCTTGGTTCCATCCTCAGCACTGTACAAGGGAGAGAAAGAGGAAATGGGGGAAGAACAAAGGAAAGGAGGGAGGAAAGGGAGAAAAGGGCAGAAGAAAGAATGTTATAATGTGAGAGGACATTTATGTAGGAGGTGGACTAAACTGGGCTTAAAAGTCATTCTCAGGCCACATGAAAGAAAGCTGAGGTGTTTGTTGGAGGCCATATTGGGGGTGGATTTGGTCATAGAGACAGAGAAATAATAATAGCATAATTAGCATAATTATGGGAAACCACTGAAAATAAAGGGAATCAAAATTGGTACAGTAGACAGAGTGACTTTGTAGATGCTTTGAATACTGAACTAAGGGATCTGACTCATTCCTATAAATGAAGTCATTCCTGAAAGGGAAGACTGATACACATGTCAGTGTAGGCCTTATCCTGAGTGGAGGAGGTGAAGGGCGGGGCACTGACAGCTCACTCTAGAGGAGAAAGGTCAGGATACTGTGTCCAGAATCTGAGCTCTAGGGGCTGGGAAGGTGGCTCAGTGGTAGAGTGCTTGCCTTGCATGCACGAGGCCCTGGGTTTGATTCCTCAGCACCACATAAGCAGGGAAAAAAAAGCTGGAAGTGGCGCTGTGGCTCAAGTGGTAGAGCGCTAGCCTTGAGCTGAAGAGCTGAGGGACAGTGGCCAGGACCAGAGTTCAGGCCCCACAACTGGACCAAAAACAAAAAACAAAAACAGAATCTGAGCTCTAGCAAATAGGACTACAGTCCTATGAGGGTCAAGAAGGCATTTTTTTTTTTTTTGCCAGTCCCGGGGCTTGAACTTGGTGCCTAGACACTGTTCCTGAGCTTCTTTTGCTCAAGGCTAGCACTCGTACTCTACCACTTGAGCCACAGCGCCACTTCTGGCTTTTTCGGTGTATGTGGTACGGAGGAATCAAACCCAGGGCTTCATGCATGCTAGGTAGGCACTCTACCACTAAACCACATTTGCAACCCAAGAGGGCATTTTTATGATGCAGAAATGAAGGCAGTCTTCATTCACTAGAAGTTTTTTTAAAAGCCTCATACTTCACAGAGACTTGTACTGGGCAGCATGACAAATTACTTAAAGCAAAACAAGCAAGTTTTAACGTTTCAGGGCCCTGCTGAAAAATTTCCAGAGGCTGACACTTAGTTCTCATCCCATTCTTCTTCCAGGCAGATCTTAGGCTTCTGCTTTAGGCTTTGTCTGGGGGTATGGCAATGTGAAAAGGTCTTGAGATCTGATCCAAGGCCGCCTCCTTTCAAGCAAGGGTCCAAATGGCTAACATGGATTTTCAGAATTTGGCTTAGTCTTCCTAGTTTTTGTAAAACAAAAATTAAACAGATTTTTAAAATACCCTTCTTAAAAACAAACAGAATTGGGCTGGGAAGGTGGCTCAGTGGTAGAGTGCTTGCCTTGCATGCATGAGGCCCTGGGTTCGATTCCTCAGCACCACTTAAACAAAAAAAAAAAAGCCAGAAGTGGCGCTGTGGCTCGAGTGGTAGAGTGCTAGCCTTGAGCTAAAGAGCTGAGGGACAGCGCCCAGGCCCAGAGTTCAGGCCCCACGACCAGACCCAAAAAAAAAACCCAAAAACAAATTGACTCTCATTTATTATTATCAAAATGTTTTTAAATACTTACGGATAAAACCACCTTAGTGTATGACTTAATATTTCATATTTAGAAACACAGATGTGACACTATATATTATTAAACTATCAGTTTCTTAAAAACCAGTATAGTTTGTGCTCACGTGAAGTTTCAGGGCATAATCTTCTTTCTGTTGCAGTCTACCTTGATATCTCTATTTTCTCCTGTATTTTTGTTTTCCAAACAAAAGCTGGGAGATAAGTTAGATAGAAATATAGACAAAGATGTAGAAAGAGAGACTAAAAAGACAAAGAGAGCACTAGAGTCCAGCTGTGGTAGAGAGGTGGGATGGGGCCGAGGCCAGCAGGAGAGAAGAGATAACAAACCTAGACCTGAGAAACAAAGAGGGCTAGGAGGGGATTGACCTGCTCAGAGAGGAAGGTCTAGCAGGAAAATGATACTGGGTGGAAAAAGCAAAGCACAGTCAAAGAATAGCCTCAAAGAGCCAGTGTGTTGTAGATACACAGAAAGAGCGCAAAGGGAAAGTGAATGGGAACATGTAAGGCTTAGAAACAAAATCTGGGAAACTAGGGGAAAAGGAAGATACGGAAACTAACCTAACAAGAAATTTAGCTCATCAGTTTCCAAATGCTCAAGCCCAGAAGGTCTGCCTTACCTTAGAAGAAGCAGAGTAGGATCATAAATGGATTAAGGATCCATCATGGCTAAACTGGTATTGATAGGCAGAACATTTAACATTTGGCCAGTGAAAGTTGGCTAAATGCATTAGTGATGGATGATGAAAAATGTACTAAGCTAAAATACTTTGTGAGCCTGTTAAACATGAGGCACAAGTGTGATACACTTAGGTGCTCCTAGATACTTTACAAGGTGTTTCTGTTCCAGTACATCCAGAAATGTGATATCCCTACTCAGTTCTGTAGGCTACCTTTTAATAAGGCTGATTGGTATAAAGTCTTAACTTCTGGCTTTGTTTTCCTATTAGAATATGCTAGGACTGTGCAACTTGAGACAGTTTAAAAGAATGTTACTCCTGAAAGTAGTTAAAAGGGAAAATTCACACTGTCCTCAGCTCATAGATTTGCTGTTATTTTTACCTTGTGTTTAAGTAGATTATCTATGGGGAAAAAGTCAAATATAAAATTGTTTGGATATTTTATTGTAATTCTAAAGCCAATATGTGAAAGTATATAATAATATATTTAGATTCAACACAAACCTCATGGACATTAACCTCAGTGAGCTGAGGTCCTGTTCCTCAGTTGTGGTGGTTTTATTTTGAGTAATAGCCCTTGATTTCTCAGTGACATCATAAGACTTTTTTAAACCTACTAAAGTGGCCTGTGGAATGCTTTTAAACTGGTTTTCTGAATAGCATGTTGTTTTTTAAAACCCACCACAGGATTCCCAGACTCTGAAACTGGGTTTTTCCTAACCTCACCAGTGTTAGCAATGGTGCTCACGTTCGGTATTGATGGCAACCTGTAGGAGGCGTGACCATTCCAATTTTGATCTTATTTTAAAGTGTGAACTTTCCAGAACCCTGAGCAAAATGAGTGCAGCGATTTTCTTTTTGTAGGACAAGAAGACAGAAGAGTTCTTCTCTGTGGTGACTACAGACTAGAGGAATGCTCTAGTGAGTTTCCACTTCAAGTAGTACCCACTCATAAGCCGGGGGGGCAGACCCTTCTGTCTAAACACATCTTTTATTTGTGTTCCAGCAGGTGCAACAGGTTCAGGTGTTTGCTGACGTCCAGTGTACAGTGAATCTGGTAGGCGGGGACCCTTACCTGAACCAGCCTGGTCCACTGGGAGCTCAAAAACCCACATCAGGACCACAGACCCCCCAGGCCCCGCAGAAGAGCCTCCTTCAGCAGCTACTGACTGAATAACCACTTTTAAAGGAATGTGAAACTTAAAAAATAGACATACAGAGATATAAAAATATATTATATATTTTTCTGAGATTTTTGATATCTCAATCTGCAGCCATTCTTCAGGTCGTAGCATTTGGAGCAAAAAACAAAACAAAACAGTTCACTTTTGTTGGGAGATTGAGAGACGGTTTGTTTCTTTCTTTCTTTGTAAAGGCCTTGGATATTGGAAAAAATAACAAGGCAGACAGTTGGACAATCTATTTCTTGAGCCAAATTTAATTATTCTTATTTTTGTAATCAGTCATTGGCTTCTTATCTGGATGAAGGCTTTTGGAGAAGAACCAAAATGACAAGTTCTAAGGGGAAGACAAAGCTGTGCCTCGCTAGCTCAGTCCTGACCCCGCCCAGGAAGGAGGGCCTGTGTGACTTTGCTTGTGTCCGTCCACCAAGGCTGTCATGTTCCTCACAACCAACAGCCCTTCCCACCCCCACCCCTAGGCAGCTCGTGTGTACAATCAGCTTCTTCTAGCAACTCGTATCTGTTGGCTTCAAGAGAATACTTCACCTCCACAAATGTATCCCTTCTCCCCTTCTTAAAGATGGATTTAAACCAAGTTGCCTCCAGAAAGGAGGATGGCATACTCACAGAGGAATCCAAAAATATGGTTTGGGGAAAATGCAATAATTTTGATGAGATGATTGCAGGACACAAAATGAGTTCTGTCAATTATTGTAGATACAATTTTCTTATTAAATCTGGGGCTGGGGGAAGGCAGCCTGTTCTTTCTGCTTTTGTGTTAACCGCTGAAGTAGCTCAAGTTATTTAAAATAAAATAAAATTTATGCTCCAAGTAGCTTATTTTTCCCTTAAATCTCACTGTAAATATATTTGATTTCTTGTAGAAATTGATTTCCTTTTGTTTAATTTTATGCTTTTATGATCATACTCTTGATTTTTCTAAACTTGTGTGTGAAATATAACATTAATTGGATTGCAGTTACATTTGGCTAGTAATATTTTATTATTTTAGTAACTATGATGCCATGTGTGGATTTGCATTGGGGCTCAGAGCAAAGTGCCAGTGCCAGAAAGAGCTGCTACAGCTGAGCTGGTGCAGACTGCCCGGAGCATCTGGGATCACTGACCAGAGGTGCACAAGTCACTTGTACAGAGGGAAATTAGTGCTCAAAGAAAATCTGCTCTCTTTTTTTTGTAATTAGATTGACTTTGGGAAATTGAATTTCCATCAGTGCAAATAACAGTAGGTCTATCCTGCTCTGAGGCTCGTTGGCACCATGTTTTCCCTTTGTGTCTTTGTCACTCTGCCACATCCCATCTCATCCTGGCCTCTTGAGAAAGGAGCCAGTGAACTGACTCAATCTAAAAGTTCCACCACAGGCCAGGCAAACTTGAGGAAGTCATTGTGGAAAACAAAGGTGACCCCCATCGCTCTCCTTGATCTGCATCCCTGGGCCTGTGAACGATGACAGCGCTGATCTTCTGTACCAGCTACCTCTGTCTGCATGGCAGAGAAAAGGCCATAAGAACCAATGTGGATGAGGAGCATGGACTCAGACTTCAAGGAAGAAGCCATTTCCCCAGGTCCTTCTTTCTGCATCTTACCACCCCTACTATAGATAACTCCATCAAACAGCATCTATTCAGAAACTATGCCGAATTTCAAAATTGCTGGAAGGGCTCATGTGGGTAGCAACTATGAAACAGAAATAGGACACTCAGTTACAAACATTATCTCATTTTAGTTTTTCTGAAAATGCATCCCTGGTTTCATTCATTTCCAGCTTGAAAGCTCAGCCATACTATAGACCCTAACCAAACTGCTTTAGGAAGTCTTTTCCATTTTGTTTGTGATACTCGGATGTGCAGACTTCAGGAAGTTCACCTTCAACTCAGCATTCCAGATGAAGTTTCCTGACTCAGCGCTTTTTGCAGAAGGAACTAGAAAGCAAAGCAGTAAGGAAAAATTGGAGATGCTAAACATCCTCCCCCATCCCAACTGCACCTTAAAGTATGCATGTCACCTTCAAGGTTTTATAATTGCACTGTTTGTTTTATGTATGTACAGATTAAAATTATTGCTACATTTGAGGAAAATACAATTGCTTGCTTCTATGTAATCCTGTCATTCCACAGGAAATCCACTTTTCCAGCTACTGAATAGAATTTGTTTAACAACCTCATGGGTTGCCTCTTCATTTATAGGGGGAAAAAAATGAAGCCTACAGTGTGTAGGACTTGTCAAAGCCCAAAATGACTTAGAATGTACTTAAATGATAATAAAAGAGAAGATCCCTAAAACCATAAATCCTCAAAGTCACTCTAATATTGAACCAGCCCGGTGACATTTGAGGAGGTCAAAATGAAGTTGTGGTATGGGCTTTGAGGAAATGCTAACATAGTCATTTGTCTGGTGAGGAAACACTATGGCCCGCTGTCTGGGGCAGGGAGATCTGATCCAGGCAGCACTTGAGAACTACAAATAGCATGTCTTCTCCATCTTGCTTATAGTGTTCTGCTTACAGTTTTACTCCAGGGTGCTCCATCACCATGAGACAGTACTTTATAAAAATAAAATTTCTTCCAGCATGGGTAGCTCATGCCTGTAATCCTAGCTACTCAGGAGGCTGAGATCTGAGGATCATAGTTCAAAACCAGCCCGGGCAGGAAAGTCCGTGAGACTCTTATCTCCAATAAACCACTCAGAAAACTGGAAGTGGTACCATGGCTCAAGTGGTAGAACACTAGCCTTGAACTGAGCTGAGGGACAGCACTCAAGCCCAAAGTTCAAGCCCCATGACCAACAACAACAACAACAAAAAACACAAAAAACAATTTTCTTACCAGTGTATCTAAAATCTACCAATACTTAATTGTGCCAACTTAAGGAGGGTAAATTAGCTGGGCTCTAGTGACTCATACCTGTAATCTTAGCTCCTTAGGAGGCTGAGATCTTAGGATCATAGTTCAAAGCCAGCCCAGTCAGCAAAGTCTGTGAGACTCTTATCTCAAAGTACTCCAGAAAACCAGAAGTAGAGCTGTGGTTCTAGTGTTAGAAAGTTAGCCTTGAGCTTAAAAAGCTCAAGGACAGGGCTGGGAAAGTGGCTCAGTGGTAGAGTGCTTGCCTTTCATGCCTGAGGCCCTAAGTTGGATTTCTGTGTACCTTATAAGAGGAGAAAGCCGGAAGTGCCGCTGTGGCTCAAGTGGTAGAGCACTCACCTTGAGCTGAAGAGCTGAGGGACAGCGCCCAGGCCCAGAGTTCAGGCCCCAGGACTGACCAAAAAAAAAAAAGCTCAAGGACAGTGCCTGGTCCCTGAGTTCAAGTGCCAGGACCAGCACGCGGGGGGGGGGGGGGGGGGGGGGGGGGGGGGGGGGGGTGGAGGTAGTAGGGGGAAGCAGAGAATAATTTGAAACAATTGAGGGAAAGTAGGGAAACAGCTTTCTGTATGATTTGCCAAAGGTAGGTCCCATTCCCACAGGTGTTAGATTTATGTCTGCTATAATGGGAGATGCACTGACGTCCTTGCTGACACTAACAGCTCTTCCCCAAGAGCAGCTGTACCTGAATACAGTGACCAGGTCAGAGCATCTTGATCCTTGACCATCTCTGTGCCTTCACAGTTTTAATGATTTAATTAAGCCCATAAATTCTTTTTTATTGGACAGTACTACCAAAGGAAATATTCTCCATCCAGAACCCATTTTGCCAGCATTAAATTTTCTTTACCTGTCTGCGTGTCCACCAAACCCACAATGCTCTACCCTCATTCACTCACTTGACACACTTGTATTCTTTATCCAAAGCTCCTAGAAGCCTAATGGAACTTAAACTCATAGGATGGAAGGGGGTTAGTTACAGTGGACATTGGGTTAAAGGTGAAAAGGAGAGTTCTGAACTGCCTCATGGGCAAGACCTTGTCTGAAGAACAAAGAGATGGAGTTGAGGTAAGATTGGCAATGTGGTACAGAAGAGGAATTAAGGGCAGCCACATGTATGAAGGCCTGAAGGTAGTCAAGGACCCCAGAGAGCTGGGGTTTTAAATCGTTCACTAGTGTTCTGAGCACTCATAAACATGTCATTACATTTTGTCAGCTGGTGGGCTGGAAAGTAATGAAGTCAGCCTTTGGCTCCAGAAGGAACATGCATTCCTGGACTCTGGGCCCCAACGTCCTTTGGAAATTGATCCTGCTGATAGCTCAGGCTTTTCATAACTAGCCCTATCTAGCCAGGAGCCTGGGCTTCTGGTTCTTCAATGCAATAATCTGTAGCTGGGGATAAGACTAAGAAGATTTGTTCCAAAATAAGTTGTTGTTGTTGTTGTTGGTCGTGGGGCTTGAACTCTGCCTGGGCACTGTCCCTCAGCTCTTCAGCTCAAGGCTAGCGCTCTACCACTTGAGCTACGGTGCCACTTCCAAAATAAGCATTTTTAAAGTTAACATTCTCCTGATGTCAATTATATTTTAGCTAGTAATCATTTAGTAAGCTAGAATTTAAAGTCTGACCAAATCAAACAAAGAATCATGCATCTCCAAACCTGGATTTTAGTTTGTCATTCTACTTGCCCTTTAAAACTTTTTGTAAAGACTTATTAGAAAAAGGTATATGTGAAAATAGAACATTGTAAATCAGATTTGTGTGTGTGTGTGTGAGTGTCTCTGTGTCTGTGTGCACATGCACACTGGTACTGGGGTTTTAACCCAGGGCCTTGCAAGCTCTGGCTTGGTTTTCTTGCTGGTTTTCCACTGAGCCATGCCTCCATCCTAGCACTTTACTAGTTAATTAGATTTAGTCTTGAAGACTTGTATATCCAGGTTGACTTTGATCCTCAACCCTCCATGTCTCAGGATTACAGACCTAAGTCACTGGTTCCCAGTAACAATGAATATTTTAAGGTAACAATAGAGATAGTAACTGATACTATTTGCCAGACACTTTCAGCACTGTCAATATATCAAAGAGGAAAAATTTTTTAATCCTGTTCCTCAGGGAGCTTGCTTTCTAATGAAGGTTGATTGATGCCACGCAGGTAGTATATCAGATGGCAAGTGCTATGAAGTGGAGCCGTGGCTCAAGTGGTAGAGCATTAGCATTGAGCAAAAAGCTCAGAGCACCCAGGCCCTTGAGTTCAAGCCTTAGGACTGGCACAAAAACAGCAACAATATATTTCTGATGAGTGAAACCAATTAGGCCACAATTTTAGTGAAAGTATTTTCCTTGTATACTCACACTTTCTTGTGGAATAATGAAGATCAACCCTGTTTAGGCAATCTAGCATAATGAAGGTAACTTGTTTCTCTGGTTTGTCTGATTTCTCAAGAACTAAGGTTTGGAACATGGGGGTTTCACTTATTTACCCACAGCTAAAATCCAACGTAGGCCAGCATTCAAAACTTACACTTTAGAGCACTAGTCTTGAGTGAAAACTCAGTACCTAAACTCAGTACCTAGTTACTGTGTTCAAGCCCCAATACAAGCACACACACACACACATACTCAGAAAACCCTACTACATATGGATCTTAGATAAGGAAAAACTGGGGCCCTGAGCCTGACCTCAGAGGACACCTAAGACTTGGAAGGCAATCACAGCTGGTTCTCCACACTACCAGCTTTTCATCAGTAACAGTAGCTCACTGTCACAGACCCAGAAAGGAGGAAGGCAAGGAAAGGAGGAAGGCCTGCTGCTCCACCAAGCATCTGGGGGGGGAGGGGTTAATATGTTAATTAAACATTAAAACAAGTGAATTTCCACATACCCTTTAACAGCAGTCCTCCTGTGCATTCTGACAATCCACGAGAAGCAGTAACCTAGGCTTTGATCCTCACTTTGCAAGTTCAGAAACTCAATTCCATCAGCTCACCCAAAGATAATTGGACTCTAGGGCATTGAGTCACGCAATTCACAGTCACAGGAGACTGATTTCTAATCTGAAACATCAATTAGCCAATTTCAAACGGTAACTACAGATTTTCTACACTTGAACTACTCATAACCCTTTCCTAAATCACCCAGTAGTTACTATCTAGATGAGGAAAGACCACATTACGATCAAAGAGTAAAAAAACTGGACTGGCATAAGGCCTGGGCTTCTATCCCAGTCCTCCCACTGACTTATCGCAGGCAAATCAAAGCCTTTACAGCCAAATCTGTAAAATTTGAGACTACACTGTCCACATGGCAGAATATATGTAAGAACTTTTTTTTTTTTTTTATTTTTTGTCAGTCATGGGGCTTGAACTCTGGGTGCCTGTCCCTGTGCTCTTCAGCTCAAGGTGAGAGCTCTACCTTGAGCCACAGCGCCACTTCTGGTTTTCTAGTGGTTAATTGGAGATCAGAGTCTCACGGACTTTGCTGCCTCGGCTGGCTTTGAACTGTGATCCTCAGATCTCAGACTCCTGAGTAGCTAGGATTACAGATGTGAGCCATTGACGCCAGCCTGGAAGTACTTTAAACTGTTGTTCACATAAAAGAAACTTATCAGAGCCTAAGATTATTTTCAAGGATGTGTCCTCTATTCTTACAGCATACTCTGTGTGCTATTTGGGAAAGTAGCACTTTTTTTTTTTTTTTTTGGGGTCCGGTTGTGGGGCCTGAACTCTGGGCCTGGGCACTGTCCCTCAGCTCTTCAGCTCAAGGCTAGTGCTCTACCACTTGAGCCACAGCGCCACTTCTGGCTTTTTTCTTTTTGCTTATGTGGTGCTGAGGAATCGAACCCAGGGCCTCAGGCATGCAAGGCAAGCGCTCTACCACTGAGCCACTTTCCCAGCCCGGGAAAGTAGCACTTTTGTAGGCTACTACACCTGCAGAAATCCTGGGTCTCCCCTAGGACTTCTCCAGGGCAGCACTTTATACACTCTCAAAATAGGTTGATTGGTAGGGTGCTAGTAGCTCATAAGCCTAGCTACTCAGGAGACTGAGATATGAAAAACATGGTTGGAAGCCAGCCTGGATGTGGCTCAAGTAGAGCCCAGGCCTTAAGCAAAAGCCAAGTGAGAGCATGAGGCTTTGAGTTCAAGCCCCAGTACACACATACATGGGAAAAGGAGAGGGAAAAAATGCTGAAAACTGTAAGAAGAGAAGGGTCAAGTTACTTACAAAGAAAGTCAGAATAACAGACCTTTAAAAGAAACCCTTTAGGCCAGAAGAGCATAAAGTGATGAATTTCTAAACCTGAAACAACTGTCAGCCAAGGTTACACTATTCAGTAGTGTTAACCTTCAAAATTGAAGGGGAAATAGCTTCCATGGTAAGTATAAACTAACTCAGAAGTCAACATTCCTTCACGATAAAAGGCCCAAAGAAAGTAGAAACATAAGGTTCATACCTCAACATAATGAAAACTACATATGCCAAACCTTTAGTCAATATATAGTAAATATATAGTCAATATATAGTAAACTGAAAGCATTTTCTCTCAAGTCAGGAACAAGGCAATGATGTCCCTTCTGCCCACTCTTACTCAATACAGTGCTTGAAGTCTTAGCTAAAGTAATAAGGCAAGAAAAAGATATGCAAGTTACAAACAAGTCAAATTGTGCCTTTTTGCAGAAGATATGATCCTATCTTAAAAGACCCTAGAGAGTCTGTTAGAAAATCCTTAGATCTGATGAACACATTTTAGCACAGTAGCAGGACAGAAAATCAATGTACAGAAATAAGTAACAAAGAATGCTGAGGAAAGTAGAAAAAAATAGCACTTACAATAGTCGAAAAAACAAAACAAAAATCCCTAGGAATACATTTAAAGAGGTGGGAAAACCTTTACAATAAAAACTACAAAATGTTGGTAAAAGAACGTGAAGACGCTAGAAGATATACTCACTAGACACTATGTTGTAAATAAACTATACACATTGTGCACAGGGACAGGAGGGAAAAACAGAGGGAGAGACAGAAGGGGTGACATTGTCTAAGAAGAAATGTACTCATTACCTGACATAAAATGGTAACCCCTCTGTGTATCACCTTTATAATATCAATAAAAATACATTTAATTTAAAAAAAATTTAAAGGCCAGGTGCCAATGGCTCATGCCTATAAATCCTAGCTACTTAGGAGGCTGAGATCTGAGGATCACAGTTCAAAGCCAGCTAGGTACAAAGTCCATGAGACTCTTATCTCCATTTAGCCACTAGAAAACTGAAAGTGGTACTATAGCTCAAAGTGGTAGAGCACTCGCCTTGAGTAGAAAAAGCTCAGGGACAGTGCCCAGGTCCTGAGTTCAAGCCCCACAGCCAGCACAAAAACACAATAATAATAATCCCAAAATTCATATGGAAAACATCATAGCCAAAGCAATCCTTAAGATATCACAATATCTGATTTCAAGTTATTATACAGCCATAGTAACAAAAATAACAACAGTACTGGCACAAAAACATAGACTAATGGAAAATACAGAATTCAGAAATTTATCCACATGATCATAGCCAACTGAGGTCACAACAAACATGAAAAAACAGCACCAATAGCTCAGCTAAGATTGAGAGGACCAAAGTTCCAGTTTGGACAGGAAAGTCTTCAAGACTTTGTCTCAACAGAAGTTGGACATAGAGGCATGAGCCTTTCATCCCACTTATGACTCACAAAGCCTAGAATAGGCAGAGTGTAGTCTAGGTGTATACCTGGGTAGGAAGCGAAGCTTTATCAAACAATAAGCAGTGCAAGACCAGGTATTAGTGTTTATACCAACTGTTGTAAGGTAACTCGATCATGAGAAACAGAGAAGCCACATTTTGAGAGGTTGAATTGGGAGTCTTTATTAGAAAGCAGGTGTCTGCAGGCAGACTTCTGTCACAAAGACCTGCAACACCATGAATATACTTAGAAAACTGAACTATGAGAGCTGGAGAGGAAAGAGAACAGAAAAAGAATGCCAATAAACTAGGTCAAACTCCAATGGAAAGCTAAAGTGGGTGACCAAAGGAGAGCCAGGAAAAATGAGGCATGGTGTAAGAGTGTCTGAGCTGATCTGGGCCTAAATAGGGGCAGGGGCAGGGGGCAGGGTCACAGGAAGATGGAGAGTCTTACGAGGTTAAGGCACAGGACTGACAGGTCCAGTAACCTATCATCCAAATCCCCACCCCTGCCTTTAGGAATTCAAGCACACCCATCACCTGGGAGGGTGGGACTTCACCTTCCTCCACCATGAGGACAAGATGGTGCCAGTGAAACCCAATTCTCTGTCCACCACATGGCCAAGATGGCACTGGCTAGACCCAGCCTCCCCATTTCACTATAATAGTAGCTACCCAGGAGGCTAAAATCTAAGGATCAAGATTCAAAGCCAGCACAGGAAGAAATATCTGAAGGACTCCTATCTTCAAGACTATTAGTTCTTATTATCTATACCAAAAGTCAGAACTGGAGGCCTGAGTCAGACTGTGAAGCCCTGAGTTCAAGCCCTAATACAGGCATGCACACACACACACACCTCTGCACAGAAACAGGCTGGAGATGTGACTCCACACACACACACACACACACACACACACCTCTGCACAGAAACAGGCTGGAGATGTGACTACACACACACACACACACACACACACCTCTGCACAGAAACAGGCTGGAGATGTGACTACACACACACACACACACACACACACACACACACACACCTCTCTGCACAGAAACAGGCTGGAGACGTGACTCCACAGTAGACAGCTTGCCTAACAAGCTTGGAGTTCAGACCCAAGTATCACTCTCACTGCCCCCTCCCAAAATAAAAACTCATTTCAATCAGATCAAAGGCCTGTTTGCAAGACCTGAAATTCTGAAATTGCTAGAGGAAAACTTAAAGAAAACACTTCAAGATAGAGGCTTTGGCAATAGTTTCTGACTGGACTCCAAAAGCTAATAAGAAGTGACAAAGAGAATTGCATCAAATTAAAAGCTTCTGCACAGCTAAGAAAACAATTACAAGAGTAAAGGGACAGCCTACAGATGGGAGAAAATCATTGCCAGCTATTTAGAAGTAAAAAAAAAAAATAGCAAAAGAACAAATAACCCAATCAATTAAAAGGAATGAACCAAGCAGACAGTTCTCAAAAGAAGTACAAATGGCCAATAAATACATAAGAAAATGTTGAATATCTTCAGCCATAAGGAGAATATAAATCAAAGTTACATGGGATCTAATCTCATCCCAGTGAGAATGGCTATCATCAGGAAAACAAAAAACAAATGCTGGTGAGAATGTAGCAGGGAAAAAACCCTCATACACTGTAGGTGGGAATGGAAATTAGTGCAGCCACTATGGAAATCAGTGTGGAGGTTCCTAGGTAGCTTAAAATAGAACTACCATATGATCCAGCTATACAACTCCTGGATATATACCCAAAGGAATTAGTCATCATTCAATAGAGATATTGGCATACTGAAATAAGGAGACTGGGTCTAACCAGCATCGTCTTGGCCACATGGTGGATGATAAGGAATTGGGTTTAACTGGTATCACCTTGTCTTCGTGGTAAAGGCAGGGAAGTTTCATTGCCCCCCTGCCCAGGTGATGGGTGTGCCCAAATTTCAAGAGGTAGGGGTGGGGACTTGGGATGTTAGATTACTGGACCTGTCAGTCCTGTCCTTAAATTTATGAGATTCCTGTGACCCTGCCCCCTGCCCCTGCCCCTACTTAGGCCCAGACCAGCTCAGACACTATTATGCCATGCCTCATGTCTCCTGTCTCCGAGTTCTCCTCTGGTCACCATGATGTCCCACTTCACTCTCCATTGGAGTTGATCTGATTTGTTGGTATTGTTTTTCTGCTTTCTTTCCTCTCTAGCTCTCATGGCTCAGTTTTCTAACAGTGTTAAGTGTATTGGTGGGGCTGCAGGTCTACCTGAGTCTACAAGAGTCTTACCTGTTGACACCGACTTTCCAATAAAGACTCCCAATTCAACCTCTCAAAATATGGCTTCTCTGTATCTCATGACATGCGTATATATACATTTATACACACACACACACACACACAGAGAAATGTCGTCAGTTATAAAGAATAAAATCAAGCCAGATGTCAGTGGCTCACACCTGTAATCCTAGCTACTCAGGAGGCTGAGATCTGAGGATCATGGTTTGAAGCCAGCCCAGGCAGAAAAGTCCCTGTGAGACTCTTATCTCCAACTAACCACTCCAAAACCCAGAAGTGGTGTTGTGTCTCAAGTGGTAGAGCATGGCCTTGAGAAAAGAGCTCAGAGACAGCATTCAGGCCCTGAGTTCAAGCCTCACAATGGAAAAAAAAAAAAAAAGGATAAAATCATGTGTAGAAGGGAGAAGGGAAATAGGTGGAACTGGAGATTATCATGTTAAATGAGTTTTCTTGACCCTCATAATGGAATCAAACCAAATCTACTATTTAGGCAATCACCCTTAGATAATATTGCTGCTTACGTAACTTGAACTTATTATTAGTAATAATAATAGGAAATTCTTAATGATGATTTTAATACGAACACGTGTTTCGACTCTCAATAGACAGTTGTAATTGAAAGGCAAAAGCAAGTCAACATTAAAAGGAAACACATGGTGCTTTGGGATAGATGGTATTCTACTTTTAGACCCAGCTGATAATCACATATGCCAAAGTAGCAATCATCTAAACAATCGGAACTTCTTCAAATACTGGCTCACTTCTTCCTTGGGATATGGCCGGAGTGCTATGCAAGTGGCGATGTTCTCTGGCTGTTCAAGCCACAGCATATGGTCAATGTTCTTTTGTTGCAGGGTCTCAGCCAGCTCCTTCAGGGTGGTCTCATCTGGGGCCTAGGAGGTGTAGGACACAGCACACAGATTGGACAGCCGATGTAGGAAACAACAAAAGGCCATACAAAGATAGAGGCCTCTCAGAAACAGCTTTCCCACATGAAGTTTGATTCCCTGGTTTGCCATTCTCTCCACAGGGTCTTAGACATGTGGGTGGGGAGTGCTGGGAAGAAGGCAGAGAGGGAGAGGCTTAATAGTCTTGTTTATAGAACAGAGATTTTTCTCATCTCTCTTGAGATATTGTTGCATGTGTTGTCAGTAATTATGCTACCACCCCCTTTTTTTTGTCCGTTGTGGGGCGTGAACTCTGGGCCTAGGCGCTGTCCCTAAGCTCTTCAGCTCTACCACTTGAGCCACCTCCAATTTTCTTCTGGTGGTTAATTGGAGATAAAAGTCTTATGGCCTGGAAGTGGCGCCGTGGCCCAAGTGGTAGAGCGCTCGCCTTGAGCTGTAGAGCTGAGGGACAGCGCCCAAGCCCAGAGTTCAAGCCCCATGACCGACAAAAAAAAAAGTCTCACGGCCTTTCCTGCCTGGGCTGGCTTTGAACCGAGATCCTCAGATCTCAGCCTCCTGAGTAGCTAGCGTTAGCCACCAACGCCCAGCCTGTTTCCATACCTTTTGTAGTTCTCTTACAACAGGTTCCTGCAACAGCAATCCCTAATCCCTCTTCTAGTTCAGACAGTGAGAGCTGACTGCTGAAAAGACTTTTGCTGATTAACTGAAGATAGGAGTCATATGGACTTTTCCTTTTTTTGGGGGGGGGGGCAGTCGTGGGGCCTGAACTCTGGGCCTGGGCGCTGTCCCTCAGTTCTTCAGCTCAAGGCTAGCGCTCTACCACTTGAGCCACAGTGCCACTTCTGGCTTTTTTCTTATGTGGTGCTGAGAAATTGAACCCAGGGCCTCAGGCATGCAAGGCAAGCGCTCTACCACTGAGCCAACTTCCTAGCCCTTCATATGGGCTTTTCTGCCCAAGCTGGCATTGGAACAGGACCCACATATCTCAATCTCCTAAGTGGTTTGGATTACGATGTAAGCTATCACTTTTTTTTTTTTTTTGCCAACCCTGGGGCTTGAACTCAAGGCCTGGACACTGTCCCTGAGCTTCTTTTACTCACGGCTGGCACTCTACCACTTGGGCCACAGAGCCACTTCCAACCTTTTCTGTTTATATATATATAGTACTGAGGAATCAAATCCATTCTACCACTAAGTCACATTCTCAGCCCTATTCTCAGCCAAACGTGTGCACGTGTGTGTGTGTTTGCCAGTCCTGGGGATTGAACTCATATGGGCACTGTTTCTGAGCTTCTTAGCACTCTACCACTTTAGCCACTGCACCCCTTCCAGCCTTTTCTGTTTATGTGGAACGGAGGACTCGAACCCACTGCATCATGCATGCTAGGCAAGCACTCTACAACTAAGCCACATTTCCAGCCCCTCTCTTAAAAAAAAAAATGGCCCTATGAATATTTTTGTGCTTTTTCAGTGCATCTGATTATTTTCTTAAGAAATACGGGATTTCTAGCAGTAGAATCGACATAGTATAAGATCTGTCTGGCTATTTGCAAAAAGAAAGAAACTTACCATTATTTTAAGTGTACCAATTTACACCACTGGTACCTGGTATTTCTGATGCTACGCTTGATACTAGCATCTAAAATATTTTCAAATAGACCCAGGCACTGGTGACTCACACCTGTAATCGTAACTACTCAGGAAGCTGAGATCTGAGGATCACGGTTCGAAGTCAGCTTGGGCAGGAAAGTCTGAGACACTTATCTGCCTTGAGCACCAAAAAGCTGGAAGTGGAACTGTAGCGCAAGTGGTAGAAGGCCAACCTTAAGCAGAAAAGCTCTGGGATTGCGCCTGGGCCGTGAGTTCAAGCCCCGGGATCGGCACAAGAAAATTAAAACACTTAAAAATAACTGACGTCATGGCCAGGTAAATGAGCGTTTCCGTTGGCCTTGGGTTGCGTCTCGGCTCTTCTGGGCTGGTTTGCCGGGCTGACAGTCTCGCTAGAAAGGCTGGGCCAGGAACCCCCAGCTCAAGAGCACAGTGTGCTGGACGCCGACGCCACCGGCTGCCGGTGAGCCTGGCGGGATGCGTGCGCGCTTAGTAAACAGCCCGAGACGCGGCCCGGGGGAAGGGCTCCTGGGAAACAAAGCCCTAGCACTGCTGGCCGCAAGCATTAGAAGGCTTCTCTTCCTCTCCCCTCACCACTCCACAGCGAGGCCTTGGCCCCAGACCACGCCCACATCCGGGCCCAAGTCCCCAGCGTCCCGCCCCCTCCGCTCCGGGGCCTCACCTCGAGGACCACCTTGCGCATGCGCCCCAGCTCCCGGAGGTAGGCGGCGGTGTGCGGGTGGTCGCGGTGAAGATGTAAAGCTGCGGTCGCAGCGTGACAAGCTTGCGCTACCAACGCTCCCGCGGGCCAGGAGAACGGAGCCTTCGATAAATCTTTTCGTAACACCAAATACTGTACTAGGATCTGCAGCTCCGCCCCAGAGGACGCCATCTTCCCGACAGTCCGGATGGCTGCACTTGCCCCGGTGCATTCTGGGACCGGGGGGTGGGTCCTGGGCGCCGCCATGTTTGTGTACGGCGGGGGCGCAAAGCACCCTGGGAGCGGCGGGTTGAATTTGAAGGCGGGGACGGCGGGAGTTCTCCTCCCGGGAAAGAGACGAGGTACGGGGAAACTGGGCTGGACGGAGCCGTGGCCCAGGTAGAGGGGCCCACGGCTATGCAGGGCTCCTTCCGTGTGCAGAGGGCACAGCGCCCGGGGGGTTCCCGGGCGGCGGGAAGGTGGACGCGGACACGGCTGGCCCCGACCCGGGGCTGGCTCGACGGGGACATTTGGGTTTTCCGGGGCCCCCGGGAGCCTGTCTGGGTCTAAGTGAGAGTAGACGGGACACTGATCCTGTTTTCTTCTGCCACTAAGGACAGCTGGTCTCACACTTAACCTGGACGACTTCATAGAAACGCGCTGGACACTCGGAGGAAGAGATGGAGCCGGCGAATTCGTTCCGTCTGGACGGCGAGTCCAAAGGAGGTATTCCGAGGGGCGCCCCTCACCACACGCAGGTTGAAAAGAGCCCCTTCCCTCCGCACCTGACGCAGGGCCAGTCCCGATCGGGAGCCGCGGGTGAAAGGAACTGACGTCTGGAACCAAGGCCAGACCACAGGGAAAAGTGGCTTCGAGGCTTTTCAGGCTGCTGCTCCTTTTGAAACTGATAGGTTGCACCCATAATGTGGGCTTATGATCAGAGCGACAATGCACCTTTTAATACAGTACTTGTGAGGGAGGCCCCACTGTGGGCCAGTGACTTCAATGTCGCATAGCCCTGGGCGATTCCTGGCTCAGCCTTAATGATTGTGGCCCCGGGAAAGTTACTGTACAGTTAGTTCTCTGCCTCAGTTTCTTCAGCTGGAAAATAAGTGGAGGTAAATGATAGCATGTGGTGGTGACCGTGAATATTAGTACATATTTCTGTGGTTGTCAAATAGCTTGTGCTATGTATAGGAAATAGCATGCCTTTACATGCTTAATAGTAAAGCATCTAGTACAAATATCTAATATTTAGGAAATGTCCAAATGTTTTTTACTGGAACCAATTAGCCTTATGAAATTAAAGCCTTTACTGTATTGCTCCTTAGTTAATTGAATACTGAGATTTATCCTCATGTTTCTGTCCAAAAGTGAGGTTCTTTGTACCTTTTCTTGTTAATGCCCGGAAAGATTTTTTTGTGGACAGTTCTTGGTATTGTGCCTTTCTAGTCTTATACTCCTAATACTTCTTCAAGCCTGGTGACTAAATTATAAGGATTAGATGATTTCTGAGTCAGTGAAATCTGGTGACCCCTCTTCCTCTGAGTCAGCAAGTCATGGAGAGTCAGCTGTATTCAGAAAACTTAACCTGACACTTTAGATAATAAACACTAATGTGGGTTGAGATTGACTTCAAATTGGTTTGGTGACTTTATGGATTAAAAACATGATATAGCTGGATACTGGTGGTTTATATTGGTTATCCTAGCTACTCAGAAGGTTGAGATCTAAGGATTGCAGTTCAGAGGCAGCCCAGACAGGAAAGTCCCTAAGATTTATCGCCAATTAACCTGCAAAAAGCCAGAAGTGGAGCTGTGGTCTGCAGCTAGCCACAGAGTTCTGAAGGAAAAAAAAAAAACAAACCAAAAAACTTTTTTTCCTCTTTTGTACCAGGTTTGGGGCTTGACCTCGGGGTCTTGTTGCTCTTCCTTAGCTTTGCAGTTCACGCCCCTTGAACCACAGCTTCACTGCGGGTTTTTGCTGTTAATTGGAGATAAAAGTCTCACAGATTTATTTCCCCTGGGCTGACTTCAAATCTTGAACCTCAACCTCCTGAGTAAGTAGGCTTACAGGTGTAAGCCACCAATGCCCAGTCCTCTGTTCATTCTTAAAATGCTGCCAGTTGCCAGAATTAGAAACTTTGTCTTACAAAGTTCCTTTTTTTAACTTAGGTGTTTTAGCTTACTTGGAAAGACTAGAGGCTCAAGTGAAGAAATCTGAAGTGCTTCGGAGAGCCCAGATCAAGGAAAGTGCCCTTAGAACCAAGATCCGTGAACTGAGGCATCGTCGAGACCAGCTGAGGGCTGAAGTGAAGCTACGTCAAGTCAGAGTAAGTACAGTGTAATGTGGGAGACTTTCCTAAGGTGTACAAAATAATCATGATCTGGGAACTGGTAAATTTGCATGGCTTGTTTTACTTTTTTTTTGGTCAGTCGTGGGGCTTGAACTCTGGGCCTAGACGCGGTCCGTGAGCTCTTCAGCTCAAGGCTAGTGTTCTACCACTTGGGCTACAGCACTACTTCATGCTTTTTCTGTGCATGCGGTGCTGAGAAATCAAACCCAGGGCCTCATGCATGCAAGTCAAGCACATTACCACTGAGCCACCTTCCCAGACCCTTGTTTTACATTTTTAAACTTTCAGTCATACTGGATCAATTTCAAATCTTTGATTCTTCAAATAAGCAGACCTATATAAATGTAGTTGAGAATCAATATCAGTAAATGTCCGATACTAGTGATGGGTCAGGAAGGTTCATTATACTCTCTGTCTCTTCATAGACACCTAAGCCTGTTGCAGACTTTAGACTTTAAAGAATATGTATGTATACAAATTTACATATATGTATATATATGTATGTAAATTGGTTATAACTATAGGGCTTTTGAGGGGGATGAGAATGAAGGAGAAATAAGGAGCATGATGGAGGGTAAATAATATCAAAATTCATTTAGTCTATATATGAAGAGCATAAGGAATCTCACTGAAAGCCGTTAAATAATAGGGGTGATAAGGCCTGTGATCAAAGGAACAAGGCTGACACAAAGCAAAAGTTAAGCAAAGCTTTATTCTGCGCCAAGCATCGAGAATCAAACTGACCAGTCAGGGTTAGGGCTGTCTCTATGGAGAGAGTGACCCCTCCCAGTCTTACAGGCTAGCTTTTATAGGGCAAAACCACAAATCATAAACTAACTGTAAGTAACATGGACTCCTACCACCTTTGCCCCAGATAAGACCAGTATCAGTGATAGTAATCACTCCGCTGAAGTTCTGCTGCTGCTGCTGCTGATAAAGTCAATATTTAGCTTTTTAAATGCTTCAGACCCCAACATTACTCGAGACTGTTGGTTATGCTTAAATCTTCAGCCTCCATATTATATTGGAATAGGAACTAACCTAACCATAAGGACTCAAAAGGGCCAAATTAAAAATGAGAGTTCTTATGACTCGTGTAAATGGGGAAAGGTGCCCAGGCTAACCTTAGGGGATCTAAAAGAAAAGGGACTCTGCCTCGCAACACAGATGCCTGTGTAGCTTTTTAGACTTTTGTCACATATGAGCAGTAATGAACCAATTAGCAGATGTTAAGAGAGCAAATTGCATGCTGAGTATTGGGCTCGGGTTTCTTGGGATCTTGGCCCATAGAAAGCTGCTTTGGTAATGGACTCTTGCAAACTGAGATGGAAATTAGCAAACTAGCAAATGCTGGGGAAGCCTCAGAACAGCTATCTAACATCAGAGCCTTTTCTTTACTCTTCACTCCTGGAAGTATTTAGGTTGCTCACCAGTAATTTCAGGCCTTTTTCTGTTTGCTTGCTTGCTGCTTTGATTTTTTTGGTTTTTTATCCAGATTGCATAGTCGTCATCAGAGGGAAGAGCAGCCTGACACCACCTTCTGGGCTGTAGCTGGAAGTGCAACTTTTAGAGTCCTGGCGCTTGAAACTCTGAAGTCTGGCCCAATCCAGCTTTCCTGCTTTGCTTTGTAGCCATCTGTTTTGTCTGCCCTGTGCTCATCCCAGACTTTCATCACACACTTTCCTTACTGTTCTCATAATTCTCCCCATCCATCCCCACCCAAATCCTAGCTCTTCAGTCCACGGTTTATACTTTTGATTCCTACACTGTGTGACCTACTGACTCTTCTCTGCTGTGAATGCATACACTAACTGCATGGCCATAATAATACAAAGGTCTTTTTGTATTACATAATTTAAAAAATCCTGCATTTTGCTTTTGTCGGGTCAGATGAGGACAGGAACTTGGTGATTTTCCCCTTTGTAGCCTGTTTGATTTGCTATCTATCTTACAGGTTAAAACATCTACCAATGTAGAACCTGACAGAACAGTGGAGGTCAGTGAACAAGAAGTTTTGAAAAAACAGAGAGAAAATGTGATTGCCATTCTGCAAGCATATCGGTTTACAGGTATAATTCTTTCTGATCTGATTCATTCTAGTTTGCTAGATTTATTATTAGTGTGGGCTTAGAGGAGATTTTTTTTTGTCCCCCTATCCTCATGATGTAGCCATCTTTCTGACCGGCCCTTCACATATTCCTTTTTTTTTGTACTGGTCGGTCATGGGGCTTGAACTCTGGGCCTGGGAGCTGTCCCTCAGCTCTTCAGCTCAAGGGTAGTGCTCTACCACTTGAGCCACAGCACCACTTCTAGCTTTTTCTGCTTATGTAGTACTGAGGAATAGAACCCACGGCCTCATGCATGCAAGGCAAGCACTCTACCACTGAGCCACCCAGCCCGTGATACTTTGTTTTCTAGTGGTTAATTATAAATCAGAGTCTCAAGACTTTCCTGCCTGGGCTGGCTTTGAACTGTGATCCTCAGATCTCAGCCTCCTGAGTAGCTAGGATTATAGACGTGAGCCACTGGCGCCTGGCTTAGACTTCCTTTTTATTGCTAGCCTGCCTTATGCTACTGATCAAATAGTTTAAACCTGTTAGGGCTGTGTTTGATCATACATGCATAAGAGAGGGCTATGGGAAGAACTGGAGACTGTCACAAATTGACAAAAAAAAAAAAAGGAGAATGGGTAAATTGGAACTTTCAAGATGTTTTTCTCAATAATTTGATATTTAAGATGTCTTCATTTTTACCCCCTTCCATAGGTCAGTCTTGATGAGAGGGAAGCATTTGTGGACAGTGTCTGTATGCCAGACTTTGTGCAGGATGCTAGATACTCAGTGAGTAAGGTGCTGCTTTTTGCCTGTCATCTGCTGAGGTATTGTCTCACTGTCTTGCTCAGGGCTCAGTGGAAAGCTGACCAGCCGCGGGGTCTGTGTGTGCATCAGCACCGCCTTTGAGGGGACCCTACTGGATTCCTATTTTGTGGATCTTGTCATCCAGAAGCCACTGTGGATACATCACCATTCTGTCCCAGCCTTCATTCCTCTGGAAAGGATAGCTGCACAGCTCCTACAGACTGATATTCAGCGCTTCCTTTTCACTCTCAGCGAGTACCTAAATGCGTATTCGGGGAGGAAGTACCAGGCCGACCGACTTCAGGTGTGTGCATAGGACTTCCATACCTTGTTTTAGGAGCCCCAAAGGAAAGCAAATTTCAGTTTTCTTTTGTATTTTAAGTAATTCTTAACTTGGAGCTAGAGGTTTGTCCTTTATCTAATTCTTGTTTCTTACTGCTATTCCTTTTCTTTCTTACCCTTTTGAAACTTAGGATGATGTTGAGTTGTGGGTCCTGGCTAAGGGATATTATGTACTTTCAGAATATCTGGTGGGTTTTGAGAGTATCTACCCCAAGGAAACCACTATAGACACACAGTACCAGATGCTATCTATCCATCTCCCCTGATCTCTGGTCAGCTTTCTTTTTTTTTTTTTGGGTCCGGTCGTGGGGCCTGGGTGCTGTCCCTCAGCTCTTAAGCTCAAGGCTAGCGCTCCACCACTTGAGCCACAGTGCCACTTTCGCTTTTTTCTTTTTGCTTATGTGGTGCTGAGGAATCGAACCCAGGGCCTCAGGCATGCAAGGCAAGCGCTCTACCACTGAGCCACCTTCCCAGCCCCTGGTCAGCTTTCTTATAGGGTGGCAGGTAAGCTAACCATAGAGACAGGAAATGAATACAAATAGGGTGTAAGTTGCTCATTTAAATTTACCATTTTCCATCTATGCATTTGGAAAGACAAGCTCCCAGTTATCAGTTAAATTTGTTAGGCAAATGCAGACACGAAACATCTTACTGTATGATAGTGTCAGTGAATTTATTAAATTCTCCCTCCACTCCCCTGGCCATCCATTTACACTAGTCCTTTTTTAGGCCTTTTATTTCTCTGAATTCATGGCCTTCTTTTGATAGTCCTGTGTGAAGTGCCACAACCACTGCCTGCACTGTAGTCACCACGCACTTGCTCTATTCCTCACCCACTAGAGTGACTTTGCAGCCTCCCTGGCTGGACCACTGCAGAGAAACGCCCTGTGCAACCTGCTGTCATTTACTTACAAAGAAAAAGCGGGGGCTCAGTCCATGCTGTTTTGCGCCAGATTGCTGTATAAAGACCTCACAAGAACTCTCCCAACTGATGTCACAGTTACTTGTCAAGGTAAGAGGAAGGCCACTTAAATGGAACTAGGAATTGAGGTATGCTCTGCTTTGTGTAGGATAAGCAAAGCAGGTGGACTGTGTCTAGAGGACATCCGAGATACTCTTCTCTTTACATACCAGAAATAGGTTTTCCTTTCTTCTTTGTATATGGTAAATAAAATTAGCCTGGTCCCCCATCTTGACCTCTTACTTCTACCTGACTTCTTTCAGCTCATAAATTGTTTTCATGGGAGGCCCCCTCTTGCAGAAAAACAAGCAAGGCTGAGTCAGAGTCATCTGTGATAGAATGAAGCTGAAGCTCATTTTACTATGTAGCCAAATAGGCAGGGCAAGTTAGTGTATTTAAGTTCTCCAGAGTGTATTTTCTACATGGGAATTTGTTTAGAGCTAACTAAGAAAGGCTTATTTTTCTAACTTCAACTAAATGTTCCACGATCAGGTGACCTTGGCAATAGTGAAAAATAGGATAAAATGTTTTTAGGAGATAGACATGTTGATGCTGCCAAGAGTTCATAACATAGGTCTTTTTTTTTTTTTTTTTTTGGTCGGCGTGGGGCTTGAACTCTGGGCCTGGGCGCTGTCCCTCAGCTCTTCAGCTCAAGGCGAGCGCTCTACCACTTGAGCTACAGCGCCACTTCCGGTTTTCTGGTGGTTTATTGGAGATAGGAGTCTCACAGTCTCTCCTGCCCGGGCTGGCTTTGAACCGCGATCCTCAGATCTCAGCCTCCTGAGTAGCTAGGATTACAGGCGTGAGCCACCAGCGCCCGGCCATAACATAGGTCTTTGAGTGCTGTGTTTTATTAATTCCCTGGTCTTAAAAATGTATTGGTCTTCTAGGGGCAGCCTCTCCACCCAGACCAAAATTACATGGGTCCAGAATAGTGTGACCCAGTGTTTCCCTTGATGACACTAAACAAGACTGATGGAATCTTTTTTTTTTAGGGATGGGGGCACTGTCTACCTTGCAGGCAGAGTATCGGGCATCCCATGAAACACTGTTCTGCACAAAGCCCATACATCAGGTGTTTGCTTCCTTTTCACAAGGAGAAAAACTGGATTCAAGGATCTGGAGCTGAAAACCAGCAAAGGCTCACACTCCTTACCTGGAACGATCCTAGCCTTGAGTAGAAGCCTGCTTCAACAGGATGATGAGCAAGTATGAGTCCCCAGACACTGGAATTTTTGGAAGTTCTCCATGAGTGCCTGGATACAATCCTTGCTTGTTAGAATGCTTACAGTCACATGTCCTTAGGTACCTGAATTTGATCATGTATTTTACTTGAGAGTTAGAATGGCTTATGGAGTGATAGAAGACATGAAAGGCTAGAGTGTATTTTCCTTTTTTGGGGAAGCTTTGCTTTTCTGCCCAAGACTTAAGAGTTCTTAGGACCCTAGATTTTGGGCTAGGGGTATTGCTCAAGTGGATGTCTGCCTAACACACACAGACTCTGAGCTCAAACCTCTATATTACCCAGAACACTCAGACACATGATATGAGGTAGATCATATAGTTGAAAAAGGGTAAGGGGCTGGGAAGGTGGCTCAGTGGTAGAGCGCTTGCCTTGCATGCATGAGGCCCTGGGTTCGATTCCGCAGCACCACATAAGAAAAAAGCTGGACGTGGCGCTGTGGCTCAAGTGGTAGAGCGCTAGCCTTGAGCTGAAGAGCTGAGGGGCAGCACCCAGGCCCAGAATTCAGGTCCCATGACCAGACACATACCCCCCCCCCAAAGAAAAGGGTAAGTGTGAATTGGGCACCAGTGGCTTACTCATGTAATCCTAGCTACTCAGGAGGTTGAGATCTAGAGAATCTCAGTTCAACACCAGCTCAGACAGAAGTCTATAAGTCTCCATTTCCAAAGTAACCAATCTTCCTCCCCATTGCCAAGGCCCTTTTGTATGACTGTGGGCCTTCCTGTCCATGCTAGTACTTACTGTTCCTTGGCTTAGGGCCAGTTGACAGCTGTGAAAACCTGTCTGGCTGGTCATGTTCTCCCATTACAACTCCTGTCCCTGTTTGCCCAGGCACAGATAGGAGATTTACTGCCTGAGGCTTCACACCACTTCCTAAACCTTATGATCATTAGGCACTGTGCAGAACCTCCAGCCAACTCTATGAAGTGTACAGAGCACAGGAAACAGGTATGGGCCATCTTTTAGGAGAAAGCCATGTAGAATGAGAAGTCTCAGCTCAAGTTCTTGCTTTCTAGGCATGGGGTGGGAGCTAATGCTTTGAGCCAGCCAAGCATTCAACGGACATGGTAACAGAATGATCACAGTGATCCCATCAAGTTGAGTAAAGCTTTTAATAAAACAGTCTGTTCTTTATCAATACCTGTATATTCTCTTTTAAAGCAGTAGCAAAGGTGACTGTAGCAAGAGCTCAAAAGGCAAGGCAGTATCGGAAAGTGTTTTAACAGGTTAAAAATATAAATGTAGAGATCTGTTTATATATTTTTCTTCCAGAAATAACCTCCCTCCCCCCACCAGGTGAAAGGAAATATTGCACTTTCTGCTCTCATATCTAAGGTGACAAGGGTTCCAGAAGAACCTTTCAAGATTATCAGGAACATCAGGATGAGGGCCATTTAACCTAACTGGTACCATACGTGTGGAGACCGCTGCATCTCCAGGGTGGCAAGCACTGCTATCAGTTCCAACCAGGGCCCTGCTGAGCCTCCTCTTCAGCAGCACCCCCCCACCACCACCATGCTTTCAGCCAGCAGCAAAGGAAGCTGCTCGCCGCTTCTCTGTGTCCTGCTCACAGTGGCCATGGCCTGACTTGGTGAAGAAGGCTGACTTGGAGCTGGGGCTCTGGAAGGGCTGTTCTACTACTATGCCTAAGCCCCTACTCTGGGGAAGCTCCAGGCACAGAGGCGTGCGGCTGCCCTCCGAGCTCACATATCCATGGACAGAGCAGGGCTCGAGATTTTTAAACCTAAAGTCTATGGGAATGTGTACTTCAATTTGAGACCATCGGGACTTGGTCATTTAACTTTTCCCAAAAAGCTTTCCTTGCCTCCAGAAACAGGTTTCCCTTATGTGACCCATCCATCACGGGGGCTGAGGCCACTCAGGAGTTGTCTACCACCTGGTGGGGCAGTGTGATGGAGGAGCCATTGGGGAAGGTGGCCGGCCTGTCCCGCCCCTTCAAGAAAAAGGTCAGCAGCTCCCCCTTTCCCTTCACGAAGATGGGACCTCGCCTCACAAAGCGAAAGCCATACTCTCGGAGAATGACCTGCGTCTCTTCCACCACCTGCACAGGAGAACAGAGAGAGCCAGGGGGTTAGGAAGGAGCCCAGACCACTCTGTATAGAGGGGCTTTAGGTGGACAGGACTGAGAATGGATCCAGAAGCACTAACACTTTGGTGGCTCAGGTCCCAGTCAGCCACGGAGCCCAAGGTGGCAGATTCAGAACTCCCCACCCTCCCAAAGATGGGCAGACCCAGCTAAGAGCAGCTGCTTGGTACTTGTCAGGAAGTTCATAGAAAGGGGCAGGTTCTTACTACCCAGCACTTAGGATGTTGGAAGTGGGCTGAAGACTTGTTCTCCGGCATTGCTAGCTCAGTGCTCTGGGACAGTAGGAGGTTCGTGGTCATGGCACAGCATGTGTTCTTCCACTGCTGCCTTACAGCATGCACTCTGCTCTGTGGCTGAACTTACCTGAATGTTGCCCATGACCCCCGTGGACTCCATCCTGCTGGCCACATTGACCGTGTTGCCCCAGATGTCATAGTGTGGCTTCCGAGCTCCAATGACTCCCGCCAGCACCCCACCTTTGTTCATGCCTACAGCAGAGGCATCCAATTCAGCACCGCCCTGCTCCAAGCCTTGCATTACTCTGCCTCAGAAACTCCTCTCAGAAGAATGTCACCTGATCTCTGGTTCTTGATTACATCATCCATATACCTCCTCAAAAGTGGCCTCTAAGCTACTGAAAAGGGAACATCCTGTCTTCCATTTATCCTTCCCTCACCAAGTCCTTGGCACATATTAGCTATGTCCAACAGCTGCCACCTTTATAATACACCTAGTTCTTCAAGTTTCTGTGACCTCACTCAGAAGGAATGAGCCCCCTCCTCAGTATGGGGTACATCAACTCCTTTCAAGGACAGGCTGGTCCGAGAAGAGCAGGGCCTTCAGCAGGCAGAATCCTGCCTAGGTTCCCAGGGTAGGCAGGGCTGTCACTGAGCAGTAGGGACAGATCTACTCCATCATTTTATCATTGAGGGTTTCCATCTGATCACTTATAAGGGACTAGACTGAGGATCCTTCCAGTCCTCTCCAGCTGTGTGTGTGATACTCTCCCCACATAGCTGCTCCCAGCATTCCTGGTCTTCCCTGTTGATCTGCCCAGCACAGAGGCGGGAGCCCTTACCTATGCGCAGCATGAAGTTGTTGAAGGACTGGTTGTTGATGTTTGTAAGTGTATCCTTCATGGCCAAGGCGAAGTCAGCCAGGTCGGCCAGGTGCTGCCAGCGCTCCTTGTCTGACTTTTCCTCCTGTGTCAAGCAGTGGCAAAAGCATCAGGAGCATCCAGGCTGTGGCCATGCAGCCTGCTCATTTCCTTCTGCAGCAGCCCTCTGGGAGGGATCCCTACCTACCATGGTGAGAGACCTTACCTTCCTCCCACAGTCAGCTGTGAGCTGTGACAGTTCACACAGCTCCCGGGGCAAATCTAGCTCTCACCACCCTGAGCCTGGTCTTCAGATTTGTGTATGGCTTTCCTTGTTTGGATTCCTCAAGTAGATTAGAAGCATCTGAGGGTGATAGCCTACCTACCATCTGCTTCCTTAGCTTTGTCTAGGAAGGAGTGGCATGAACACTGGCATCATGAGATAGTTGTATGACAATGTTTTAGAAACACCCAGTGGTACCAGGGCCCATGCTCATTTCCTGACTTGGAGAGTAAAGCAGGCTCCGTGGGTCTGCATCATAACAAAAAACAGCCGGTGGGGTCCCCTTTAAGTTTTCCCTTATTGTAGAATTACACAGGTTCCTAGGAAAGTACAGAGTCCCAGTGTGCACAAACCATCTTAGGCCTACACTGGAACAGTGTAGCATGGCTCATGTGTGTTCTGGTTCTCTGTCCCTCAGTGCTGCATGTGCTGGTTGTGTGAATAATACTAGGAACAATACTCGGGATTTTCTTTAGACTCCCAGGCAAAACTGCATTTCTCTTGAGCCCTTGCTGGCTACCTATCAAGTTCAGTTACCTTGCTGGAGTTGGTAAAGCCATTGGTGTTGACATCTGGGGTGACTCCTGAAGCCGCCATGTAGGTGCTACCGATAGTTTTGATCTTGGTGATGACGCGGAATTTGGGATTGTCCAGCAGCTGAAGCCAGGATTATTAAGGAGAGAATGATCAGAATTGAGGGAGGTAAATGCGCCACCTAACAACCGTGCCAGTTTGCAAGGATCTCCCAAAGCCTCTCCTGCAACAGCTTGAATTATTCTACGCTGTATGCCACATGGTACTCAGCTGAGAAAATTGAACCTTGACACAGGTAAAATTGCCAGCCTTCTGAGGTAAATGAGAATATTTGCAAAAGTATTTTCCTTGGGGCTGGGAAGTTGGCTCAGTGGTAAAGTGCTTGCCTTGCATGCCAGAGGCCCTGGGTTCGATTCCTCAGCACCACATAAGCAAAAAGAAAAAAAAAGAAAAAAAAAGTATTTTCCTTATATGCAAGTTTACTACATAGTTACTGAGACTAAGGGCAGGAAAAATGGAGGCATCTCAGGGTCTTGTTTGGCCCATGTTTATCCTATGAATTTGCAGGAGATTTCCCAGCTCCACCCTCAGACCCAGCAAATGTTCATGTATGATGGCAAGAAATTCATTTGGGAAAGGTAGCCAATCTGTAATTATTTTTTTAGTGCTACTACTGGGGCTTTAACTTGGGGCCTGGGCACTGTTCCTGAGTTTTTTTTTTAAACTTAAGACTAGTAGTGCTCTACCACTTTGAGCCACAGTACCACTTCCAGTTTTCTGGTGGTTAATTGGAAATAAGAATTTCATGAACTTTCCTTCCTGAGCTGTCTTCAAACTCAGCCTCCAGAATAGCTAAGATTACAGGCATCAGCCACCAGAGCCCAACTAATTCTCATTTCTTTTTAACTTCTGCAGGCTATCTTGGGATGTAATGGGTATGTGGGGGGTGGGGTGGGGGAGCATTTACTGGCTTTGAAAGAAGGGGACAGGAAAGTACTCACAGAGTCAAAGTCAGAGATTATCTCATTGAGGAATCGCAGACACTCAATGCCACCGTTATTAATGCTCTCCTCAGTGTAGAAGTCAGCAAAGTTAGGCAGGGAAGCAAACATGACTCCAATCTCATCATAAGACTGGCTGTACAGCTCCTAAAAAGAGGCAGGGCACAAGCACTTGAAGGACAGCTGCCTGATAGGAATGAATCTGTCTTCCCCATATTCAATGTGTACATTCTCAGGTTTAGTCTAAATGAATAATTAGAGACCAATTCATCCCCACTTTGAATAAAGTAACTTTTAGTCCTATCAGGCCAGCTGTGTGAAGATGGCTCAGTAGAGCTGGGAACTACCCA